TAATATATTCTCATTTCATTTTGTCAACAGGCCTCATGTTTACATGACAAAATTAGAAGACCTCCATTTTTATTTGTAACCACCTTTTCTAGACTCTCGAACGGAGTTAGCTAGTAAGTCTTGGAATCATAATAGTGTATTGTTTGTTACATGGACTGAAACTATTCTCGTGTCAATGTAATGAGAAATGACTGAGATAATAGCCAAAAACTAGTTTTTTAATATTAATTTTGTAACCACCTTTTTGAGACTTCTGCACCAGGTATGAACAAGTTACTACTTTGAGTGTATTCATTAAGGCCTCTTATATAGACTGTTTATGGTTTCATTTTTCTAGATGCTATGTTTCAAAAGTAATAATATATTTTTTGCAAGTGTTTCAAAGGGTGTGGTTTAATTTTTAGTGAGAACTGAGTAGTGAAAGAATAGGTTATTTACCAAGAAACACAAGCAGGATTTCAGTGGCATTGATGAGACATTGTTACATGATTGTAAAGCTTTATATTTATGCTACCACAGAGAACTATCAAGATAGAGATGATGTACATTACAGTATGTACTGTATGGTGATACAGTAAGTGCTTATAATAATTGTTGTCAATGTTTTTATTGCTATTTTTATAGTTAAAATTTGTTGAAGGACTCATAATAATAATCAATCTATTGGGTCACTGAAGAATAGAATAATCATTCATAATGATAATAATTTAAATAATAATTTTTTAGTACTTAGCACAGTGCATTCTTTCTTGTAATAGTAGATCTTCACTTTTTAGAACTAGAATATCGATTGCAACTCTTATATAGTCGTAGACCTGAGCTTTAGTAAGTAATTCAACTGGATTTCTTCACTATTTTGCTTGTGCCATGCTTATACACGTGTAGTGTAAACGTCACAATACATCACTTCCGGTGCCAAGGATCGAGCGCATCCTGTTTCATATCCATGTGTGTATGTAGTATCTATGGTAGGACACTCTCTTCTATTATTACCGGTATCTACTCTTGATATTATCTATACCACGCCTTTATTTCCATATGCAACCATGTGGTCTCCATCAATACATCTATGGCGGTCTATGGCATAGACTTCGGTCTCATCTAGACTTCAAGAGGTAGGCCCATTAACTACTGGCAAGAATAAAAGAGGTGAGGAAAGTGTTTGGGGGTCGAGACTAAAAGTATCCACACTTCAGCCGTTTTTAATAATTTCATGTGAAAATGGCAGCTCCTAATATATGTGGTGGGTACAATTACTCATTTGTTGTTCATGATCTTCCTAAGAAGTATAAATGTGCTATATGTACATTTGTAGCTCGTGATCCACAGCAGGTTATCTGTTGCTCACATACATATTGTATGAGCTGTTTGCTACATCAAAAGCAGAAGTCTGGATCATTATTGAATTTTAACTGTCCAACTTGTAATCAGTCACTTGTTGGTAGGTATTTTCCTGATGGAAGGATTGATCAAGAGATAAAGAATCTAGGAGTCTATTGTCCTAATGATGGGTGCCAGTGGATAGGAATTGTTAAAGACATAGAGACTCATATTACTGAATGTCCTTACCAGAGTATTGAGTGCAGTAATAGATGTGGAGAGAATATGCAAAGAATGAAAATGGAGACACATGTATCCGAAGAATGTCCTAAGCGTATTGTTACTTGTACACATTGTGAAGAGACTGGTGTTCATGACATAATATCTACCAATACTCACTTAGATGTGTGTCCTCTCTTTCCCATTAAATGCACTAATGATGAATGTGATGTAGTTTCTCCTCGTAATCAGTTATCAGTACACAAAAGGACTTGTCCTAAGTCTATAGTCAAATGTGAGTACAGCAGTGTTGGTTGTTCTAAGAGGATGAAACGAGAGGTACAGGAGGAGCATAATGAATCATTTGTAAAGGAACATCTTCGACTTGCAGTCAATGTATTGCAGAATCGATTACTTTTTAATTCTAAAGTTATTAAGCTCAGTGATTTTCACAATAAGAAGGTCAGTGATAATGAGTGGTCTAGTCCTCCTTTCTACACATCACCAGGAGGCTATAAGATGATGTTATCTGTTTATTCTAATGGTCAAGGTAGTGCTAAAGGTACTCATGTGTCTTGCTACATTTATCTAATACCTGGGGAGTATGATGATGATTTAGAGTGGCCATTTCAAGGAGACGTCAGAATGGAGCTATTGAACCAACTGGAGGATAACAATCACAAAGCTGAGACTATAAGATTTGATGAGTCAAGACCAGACTCAGGGCATGGTTGGGGTTGTCCTAACTTTGTTCCTCATTCTGAGTTAGGCCACAATATTGACACCAACTGTTGCTACCTCCTCAATGATTGTCTTCATTTTAGAATAACTGTGAACGCTAGCTCTAAGGACAAACCATGGCTTTTTGATTGATTGTAGTACAAATTCTTGCTTTTCGTATGTATTGAATTTAGGCCTAGGTGTTACAATCTTTTTTAACACCTAGGTCTAAATTCACTTGTGAATGCATGTAATTTAAATCAGTTTATACCATCATCATAGTAAAAAAATTTATTAATTCATGATAAAAAGTCATAAATTTCAGGTTTACCACGCCCATTTAGCTCCACCCACGTGCATCCACATGGTCACTTATGAGTGCCAGGAAAAGATACTATCATTTCTCTTCTTCAAGAGGTAAAGGGAGCCCGGGCTATACTTCTGATCACAAACTACTACCAAGAATAAAAGAGGTTAAAGAATCTAGGAGCATTTACACTTCAACCATTTTCATTGTTTTGCTTAATAGGCTGTAGAAAAGGAAAGATCGAGTCCTTCAGTTGAATCTTTGGTTGATATTCTTCAAGAAACTTATCCAGAGTACAAGAGAAAGAAGTATCACTCATTTAAAGCCCAAGTTGCCAAAAGTGGGCCATTTTGTTATGATGATGATGATATTGATAATTTCCTCCCCGGATTGCTCCACCCATTACATGTACATGTAGTTTATAAGACGCTCTCAGTTGATCCGGTTGGTAACAGGTGGTCAGAAACTGATGAAGAAGATATGATGGATAATGATACTTTAGTTGAGGTACATGTTTTTATGTTTGATTACTCTTAAAAAATAATAATCCTTAATTAATAATCCTTCTTATTTTATAATCCTTCTTAATTTATAATCCTTCTTAATTAATGGTCCTTCTTAATTAATGATCCTTCTTCATTAATATTTCAAATTTTCAATAGGCCAGAGGAAAGAATGGGATGAATGATCTTTTAGTTAAAGTTTATACAAAGCCAAACCCACCTGAAGATCCTGACACTACCATAGAAACAAGTGTTTTGGAATCAAAAGACGAAAACCAACCCCTCCCTCCTCCTCCTCCTGTTTCCTCCTCACCTGGGACTCCTCTACCAGCTAATAAGAGAAAGAAAGGAGAAGGGAGAGAGAGTAAGAGCAGAAAGAGGAAGAAACCATCATCACTTGATGAAGAAACAAAAGACGCCATTAAAGACAGTCATATTAATGGTATGAAGACATTCGTGTGATCATGTTAAAGATAAATTGGGCCATAAACTTATGCACATGTATGTACATGTAATAGTATTGCTTGTTGCTATGCCTTATTCTTTTGTCTTAATTCATTGGTTGGGTCAGCATTATAGATTTTTATATTGATTAATAGATATTTCATTAATATATCCTGATACAAGGTTCAGTGACATTGGTGGGTATGACACATTAATCAAGGTAATCAAAAATTAGTATTTATATGGGGACTCATAGCTGTTTTATTTGTAACTGCATGACTGTTGTACAGCATTTGTTGCTACACTTTTAATTACTGTATACTCTCCTCTCCTGTAGAGTGTGTGTGAGTTGATTCTCGATCTTCAGCATCCAGAGATATTCCAGCATTTAGGTATAGAGTCTCCACATGGAGTCTTATTGAATGGACCTCCAGGCTGTGGGAAGACATTACTAGCTCATGCTATTGCTGGAGTAAGTTAATAAATATTATAATACTAGATATGAATCTAAAACATTAAGAGGGCAAAGCATTGTATATTGATTGCATTGGACCTAGCAAAGTTAGGTACATGTAACTTTACATGTACATTGCATTCTTCATGTTTTGTAAAATGTCTAAAGCAACTGAATAAAGTTTGGTCGTTATACTGCTGAGATTTAGTAGGAGGCATTGAACTGCTTCAACTCAAATTGCTTGCCGAATGCCGACTCTTACACATAGTCTTTATATAGCATTTAACATCAACAAAAAAAAGTTTTATAGTTACTTTCTTGAATCCTTAACCTTGTCTAGCTGTCAGAGGAGTCTTAGGCCACAGTGTATCTGCCTTATCTTGTAGCTAAAAAAGCTCTAATATGTTGGGTGCCATTTTCATTATGCACTATATATATAAGTTGTACTTGTACGTGTATTTATGCCTTTTGTGGGGGAGAGTGAGTCTAAGTAAACTGTCACATAGTTCTCTTAAGGAAGAAATGGTAACAACTAATGAAAAGTCCTCGAAGTCATCATATGGTGGTTACAGTTACAAGTTTGTTGATGATGATCTTCCTGAGAAGTATAACTGTGCTATATGTACGTTTGTAGCTCGTGATCCACAGCAGGTTACCTGTTGCTCACATATATATTGTAAGAGCTGTCTGCTCCACCATAAGCAGAAATCTGGATCATTTAACTGTCCAACTTGTCGTGAGCCTCTTGATGGTAAGTATTTTCCTGATGGAAGGATTGATCGAGAGATAAAGGATCTAGGAGTCTATTGTCCTAATGATGAGTGCCAATGGAAAGGAATCATTAAGGACATAGAGACTCATATTACTGAATGCCCTTACCAGAGTATTGAGTGCACTAATGGCTGTGGAGAGAATATGCAAAGAATGAAAATGGAGACACATGTATCCGAGGAATGTCCTAAGCGTATTGTTACTTGTGCACATTGTGAAGAGACTGGTGTTCATGAAATAATATCTACCGATGCTCACTTAGACGTGTGTCCTTTCTTTCCCATTACATGCACTAATGATGAATGTGATGTAGTTTCTCCTCGTAATCAGTTATCAGTACACAAAAGGACTTGTCCTAAGTCTATTGTCACATGTGAGTACAGCAGTGTTGGTTGTTCTAAGAGGATGAAACGAGAGGTACAGGAGGAGCATAATGAAGTAGCTGTAAAGGAACATCTTCAACTAGCGGTCAATGTATTGGGGCAAAACCGATTGCTAAATTTTAAAGTTGTTAAGCTCAATGATTTTTACAATAAGAAGGTAAAAGATGAGAAGTGGTCTAGTCCTTCTTTCTACACGTCACCAGGAGGCTATAGGATGATGCTATCTGTTTATGCTAACGGTCAAGGTAATGCAGAAGGTACTCACATTTCTTGCTTCATTCATGTACTAGCAGGAAAGTATGATGATAATTTAGAGTGGCCATTTCAAGGAGAAGTTACTATTGAGCTATTGAATCAATTGGAGGATAACAATCACAAGGTGTATATTGTAAGGTATGATGAGTCCACACCAGACTCTTGCAAGAATAGAGTTTTTGATGGAAAGATACCACAAGGCTGTGGTTGTGCTAAGTTAGTGCCTCTTTCTGAGTTAGGCCACAATGCTGACACCAACTGTTGCTACCTCCTCAACGATTGTCTTCATTTTAGGATAACTGTAAAAGTTGCTTCTAATACTAAACCATGGCTTTACTATAGTACAAAATAACCTTAATTGCTTTGGTTTTAATTATTTTTGTTTTTTTATGTATTGTTTTAAAGTTTAAACATTTTAGTTATTGTGTTGTCAATTTGTGATATTAAAAAGTTAAAATTTATGGGAGGGAATTTAAGTCACATGGTTATTTGTATTGGTTTATTGTCTGAGAGTGTCTTATAATAGGAAGGGCCTAATGGCCCTTTGTGTGATAAATACATGTACCATAGATACCTTCACATCATTATATAGCCAACACAACACTATTTAGCATACCAAACCTACACTGTAGGCAAAATAAAATCCTATGCATATTATTTTATGAAATTAGAGGATTTTGGATTTTTTGGTACCAATTTTAGGAAAAATTTATAGCCTGGAGTATACATTTATAATTTTATATACATGATACAAAAAATTCTCAATAGCTTGAAGTTTCTACATAAGACTGCACCAATGCATTACGTTGATTAGTTTTGCAGTTTATGTAATTTACATAAAATAAATATAGCAATGTGTTTCACCATGGTATTAATGATTAGGAGATTGGTTGGCCACTGCTGAAACTTGCTGCCACAGAATTAGTGAGTGGAGTATCGGGAGAGACAGAAGAGAAAATGAGACAGGTCTTTGATAGAGCCAAGGTAAGAATACAATCAGGGACTCATACAGGATTTTTTTGTAGGGGGGGGCACAACAAAAATTAACGGTAACATCGCATATTATTGGGGATTTCATTTTGCCATATTGCACTAATCAACCAAAAGTCGGTTTTGCCTGTGGAGGCGTAAACTATTATACACATGATTGCTAGTTTATTTCAATTGTGTAATGAACATTAGTCAAACATAGCAAGTATGAACCCATTTATTAAAGTTATACTTGGACTATTTTAGGGTGGGGGGGGGAACTTAGAGTAGGGGGGATTTCCCCCTTTCCCACCCCCCCCTGTATGACACCCTGACAATGTACATGTACCTACCATTAATGAATATTTCAATTTTGTGTGCAAATTAAGTTTGTAGTTTAATGTGCCCAAAAATTTTCCCATACTCCAGGAATATACTATCGGGTTACGTTGAACCATACATATGTGTATTAAATGTGGTTAGACTGGTTACATTATTAGTACAGTGTATATATATTAATATAGCAACTATTTATTATTTCTGAGTATTATATTGTATCTGTATTTGGGTAAAGTTTCAAATTATCACTAACAATACATCACTAGACTATCATGTTACAGACTCACACACATAATAGTCTTCCCTCAAGCTTCGTATTGTTACTAATAACCTCCATGTTATACTAATAGCCTTTTATTACCAATAATAATCCAATTAGAGACTGTGTGATAATAATTATGATGTAATGTTAATAATGTAAAGAATGTTTGGCTCTAAGTTATTAATTAGTGGCGTATTGTGCTACTCAGCTTCTTTCATTGTTTATATTTCATTAGTAAATACTGAGAGGCAGAGAGAGACTCCTATGTACTTATTTGGTAATAATACAGTTCATTCACACATGCACCATCACCCTCTGTTGTAATCATGTAATGTCTACTATCCTATTCATTTATTTACATCCTTTTACTTCCAAACACAATGTTTGTATAACTAGAAATTGAGTGTATAAAAATTTGCTGAATCACTTTTACAAGTTAGCAATATTGGCGAAATGCCCAAGTTTACTCTATTAATTTTTCCAGCTATAGAGTAATAGTTATTATTAATTAATAGGAGCACTCCCCTTGTATAATATTACTGGATGAGATAGACTCAATTTGTCCTAAAAGAGAAACCAGCCAAAGAGAAATGGAAAAACGTATCGTCACTCAGTTAGGATCCTGCATGGACGGTAAGAGGCCGAGTTTGTGAACATTAATTCATGAAATTATGAAATGCTTTTTAGATCTTCAGTCGTCACTAGTGCTAGTGATAGGAACGACCAATCGGATTGATTCCATAGACCCGTGCCTCAGGAGGGCCGGACGCTTTGATAAGGAACTCTCTCTCGGAATACCCAATGAATCCTCCAGGAAACAGTAAGCCATATATTAACTAGCACTTACTAACCAGACCTTCTTTAACGTTATAGCATTCTCCAAGTCCTCTGTCGTAAGCTAAGAGTCTCAGAGGGTTTGGATTACTCTACCCTTGCCCACCTAACCCCCGGGTATGTGGGGGCTGATCTCAGTGCTCTGGTACGAGAGGCTGCCCTCTCCTCCGTCAACAGGTCACTCCTACATGTACGTCAGTCGGTTGACAGTCACCTGACTCTGGAGGGATTGTCTGGAGTGCTCAAGGAGGAGCTGAGCCCATTGTCTGAAGAGGATTTGAAGTCTTTGTTTATAAGCGAAGATGACTTCAAGGTATTGGAATGGGCTATGTAAACACACACTCACTCATTCAATCAGGAAATATGATTTTATTGTAGTAATTGTGTCATTGTCATTTTATATGTATCCTATTTCATGTACTTCCTATTCATGTTTCTTTCCATTGTCTGTCTCTTTGTCTCTTTCTCTTTGTTTGTTCTTATTGGTCTAATGGTCTTCCCCTTCTTCTCTCCCTCCCTCCCTCTTTCTCTCCCTCCCCCCTCTCTCTCTCCCTCCCTCTTCTTCCCCCCTCTTTCTCTCTCTCTCTCTCTCTCTCTCTCTCTCCCTCTCCCTCCCCCCTCTCTTCTCCCTCCCTATCTCTCTCCTTTTCTTCATGTTCATGTACAATCTACAGGTTGGTTTGGATACTGTCCAGCCCTCTTCAAAGAGAGAAGGTTTTGCTACTGTCCCTGATGTCACATGGGATGATGTTGGTGCTCTTGATGCAGTGAGGGCTGAGCTGTCACTAGCAATACTGGTACATCCCAGTCTGTAATAATTACTTCATTTATTTTGTATCATCATAGGCACCGGTTCGGTTTCCTCAGCATTTTTCTGCACTGGGTCTGAAACAGCCCCCTGGGGTGCTGTTGGCAGGACCCCCAGGCTGTGGGAAGACTTTGCTGGCCAAAGTAAAACCACACAATTTCAAAATATTTATTTCTTCTTTCACTTTCATCCCCTCTCTCCCTCCCCCAGTCTCTCACCTTTCATTAATGCAATTTTAGTAGCTTATTATTGCATGAATGTGTTATCTGTTGTCTCCTTCCTCCCATTAAAGGCAATTGCTAATGAATCAGGAATCAACTTTATATCAGTCAAAGGTCCTGAGCTACTCAACATGGTAATAATGATTAATATTTGATTTGTATTTAATTAATATTTAATTAATATTTTAATTCCTGTTTTTATTATGATTAGTATGTAGGTGAGAGTGAGAGAGCTGTCCGTCAGGTTTTTCAAAGAGCAAAGAACTCTGCTCCTTGTGTCATCTTCTTTGATGAGATTGATGCACTTTGTCCAAGAAGATCTGAAGTTTCTGAAGTAAACAGAGTTTGTGTACCACACCTGTGACCTCTCTCTGTCTCTGTCTCTCTCTCCCCCTCTCTCTCCCCCCTCTCTTCCCCCCCTCTCTCTCTCCCCCCTCTCTCCCCTCCTCTCTCTCCCTCTCTCTCTCCCCCCCCTCTCTCTCTCAGAGTAGTTCCAGTGCTAGGGTGGTTAACCAGCTCCTCACGGAGATGGATGGTATGGAGTCAAGGAAACAAGTCTTTGTTGTTGGTGCTACTAATAGACCAGGTAACATGAGAGAGGAGGAAATGATAACATTACATGTGCATGTAGCATGTGATCTTGATGAAGCATAATTATTATTGACACTTTTTTCCCAGACATGATTGATCCTGCTATACTTCGTCCTGGCCGCTTGGATAAGGTTTTACAAGTTGGTCTGCCAACCGGACATGAAAGGATAGCCATTTTGAAAGCAATCACAAAAGTAAGTCACCAGACACATACTGATAGCTCACAGACATAAACAGAAAGCATGCGAGTGTGAGATGACGCATGGTCGTATTGAATATTGTATTGTGTTACTGATAGTTTGATATTATATGAATTACTGTGTGTGTGTGTGTGTGTTTGTGTGTGTGTGTGTGTGTGTGTGTGTGTGTGTGTGTGTGTGTGTGTGTGTGTGTGTGTGTGTGTGATGTGTATTACAGATGAGTAGTGATCAGGATTTCCCACAAAGGGGCTTGTTGAAGTGAGCTAAACAGCATGCAACTTTTAAAATTCATTAAAAAATCAAAATTTGATTGGAACCAGCTCAAACTTGCTGCACAACATAAGAACATGTATATGTATTTTTAAATTATAATAGTGGAGAATTTTTTCCTTAGTCATTTTTGATGAAATTTGGCAAACGACCCTATACAGAGACTTTGGCCTGATTTTTTTAGCAACTTCATTATAAATTAATCTTTGATCGAAATCCACTCAAACTTGCTACACAGTATAAGAAGATGTATAATGTATTAGAAATAATTATGAAATTTCTCCTAGTGTTTTTTGATGGAATTTTGGCCGAAGACCTTGTACTATAGTAGTAATAGTATAGGGACTTTGACCCCAACTTTAAAAATTTATAAAAAAATCCAAACCTTGATTGGAATCAGCTTAAACTTTCTACGCAACATAAAAACATGTACATGTAGTAGAAATAATTATAAAAATGGAGAACTCTCTCTTCTAGTCAATTTTAACAAGACTCCATACAGGGTCTTTGGCCAGAATTTGGAGCAACTTTGACAACCCACTGACAAGAAGCTACATGTACTTTAGCACTATTCTGAAACCCAATGGTGCTGATGCCTTGTGATGCTTTATGATGAGGGGTGGCTGGTAGGTAGTAAGTACTAGTCTAATTACATTATCATTACTTGCTTCAACGAGTTGACCTTGTACCGATTAATTATGGAATTATTTCACGGTAATTTTAAGTTACACAAGCCTTTGTAAGCATATGCCGACAAATTATAATAATCACTAATAGTACAAGTGTAATACTATCTCTTATGTAATAGGTAATGCTATATCTTATGTGTCAAATACTTGATACGGTGATACCTGATAATTGGTTGTATTTTGACCTCTGACTGCACCAGCTGCTATCTTGGCTCTCTTTGTTTACGAATGAGTTCACATTTTCTTATCAGTTTATTTGAACTTTATGTGTTTAGCAGTTAATGATATCACCAGTCATTATGTACACTACTGCTATACACGAGTGACTACACATTGTACTATATTTGTTCATGCACTACTGCTATACTATATACTATTCTGTACTACACACATTGGCACTGTGCTATATTCCTCTTGCTCTTATCAGCTAATGCATAGTCTTCTGATAACAAAAGCTGTAAACACCCTAACACTGTAATCCAGTACAAGACTTACCTATATAAAGCATGCTATAGTAATTAGACATACATAGTTGCACACACACACACACACTCTGTCTTATGGTACACATTGCCTTAGGCTCTTCACTTGACTTTGTATTATTAGCTATTTTAATGTTGATTTGTTACATGTAAAGAATGTCTGCTTGTAAGTGCATGTATGATGTTACAATTCTGTTACTCTCTATGGCCAGCTACTTTGTACATGTACAGTGCATAGTGCTACCTTTGAGTTGATATTTGTTTATATAATATTATGAGAATGTGTGTGAGTCTTGTAAGGATTCTGAAATAACATTAAAAATAACAATGTGAGGCATAACCAGTAAGACCAGTTACTGGACCCTGTTAGTACACGCCTTTCTTCTGTGTAGTCTGCCATTTGAATTAAGTTCAGTATCATATGTACTGTGTACTTTATAACAATGGATTTAGGAACTGAGTGGCTTTTCTCTCACCCCCTCTCTCTCACACACTCGATTTCTCTCTCACACACTCGCTTTCTCTCCCTCTCTCTCTCCTCTCTCACTTTATCTCACTTGTCATCTTGTAAGTGATTATAATTACTAGTTCTCTGCCTGTTTTTAGTAAATCATTCTCTTTGATGTCAGTCTATACTGCATAACTCCATACTAATTAGTGTATACTCTAAGGAATATAAGGACTAATAATTGCAAGTGTTGTCTTTACATTAACTTAATATAGTACGGTACTACTATTAGCCATACAGCTACTACCTCATGTACACAGAGTGTGTGTATTAATATGTGTATTGTCACTGCCAGGGTAGAGCGTGTGTGTACTGTGTAGTAGTATTTCATTAATGTCGCTGGTATGTAGCTTTAATCTCGTTACTGCTAGCTGCTGTCCTGGCAAGTGATTCTAGCAAAACAACTCCATATATGGTGTGGGTGGTTGTGTGTGACACACTGCACGACAAGCTTGTTGTGTATATGTTCAGAGCTAGTGTAAGGCTACTCTATTAGTACCAGTACTAGTGACATAGGGATAGTGTATTGGAATGTATTGTGGAGTAATGTAAAGTATTATAGTGATGATAAAGCAATAGGAATTAATAAGCTATCATTCTTAAGATATTATTATTATTATTATTTTATTGTTAGCATTGATATTTATCATTTTCATGTACATGTACATGATATATTGTAGTTGTTGTGAAAAGAGTAAAATTATTATTATTTTTAAAGCATGGAGCAGGTGCATGTGTGTGTATATCCATAACGATTGCTATATCGCTTATGATAACAGCAGAATTAAGATAAGCAAGGTATAGTTTATGTAATTTCGGCTGTACCCACACCACCTCTCCTCTCTCAGTAGTGAGCGTTTACTAGCATAATACACTGTACCTTCTACCTTGTGATGGTTCCCATTATAATGGACAAATTATTCACATGTATATTTATGTACACATACATATACACGCCCTGTACTCCTGTTAGTTCTCGCTCTCCTCTCTCTCTATCTCTGTGTATTTTAAGATAAACAATGTTATTTTACTATTGCTATTTGGCAGACCCTGTCTCCCCACTGGGTCTTGTTTTCATCAAGGTGTTGCCTGAGCCTTGCCAGACTAATACTATTCCTACTCCTTATTGGGTTGATAGATATGGCAAAATTAGATACATAGGGAGCTCTAATGAGATCCTGTAAAGTGAATCAGCTCAATCAGTCTAAACACAGTCCAGTCACAATAAGAGTATTATAAGTGTATTATTGCAGCTGCTACTTGGACTGTGATGTATTATAGCTATTATCATATCACTTTGTTATTAGAATTTACTACATTTCAAATTCCTGGTCTTACAAACAATCTCTAAACTGTTGTTATTGCAATTGTGTACATTAATACACTAAGGCATTTTAAATATTTTATTATACGCGTTATTAATCTTTTGTTATTATTATTATTATTATTATTATTATTATTATGATACTGTTATTGTTTTTGCAGTAGTGCATGCAAGCTTGGTAGCTTTCATTGCATACATTTATACATACTTTTATGATTCAGTGCCTTGTCTGTGTGTGTGTGTGTGTGTGTGTGTGTGTGTTTGTGCATGGTTGCATGGTTGCATGCAAGTTATTTGGCTAATTGTGGATATGACTCAACAGGTTACCTGAATTATGTCATACTTTGTCTCATCATATTATAATACATGTGTATGCCTTTGATCTCCATTATGGTATGTACACATACCAGGCTGACTGCCTGACTGGCAGACTGATATAATGGGAGGTGATATAAATATGCTGTCTAGTGATTAGTAATAGGATAGTAAATTGGATGCATGGGGACGCTAATAGTTTGGCTTTTGTCTATAAGTCTTCTTTAAAGTGTACCTCATTGAACTGCTAAGAGTCTTAGTGTAGGGATACCAGTACACGGTTATAAGACAAAGGAGAGGAAATATCTGATGTAGTAGAGAGAGGATAAGAAAGAGAGAGGGGGAGGCTATTAGATATTCATTTGTCATTTTGTGGTTTACTAATGAACAAACTAATAGAAACTACATGTAATATACAATACTAATATCTTATATAGTCTGTGAGTTAGTGGATACTAATGCACTCTCCATTATGTCCCAGTGCTGGGTCATTTCCTGATACATTAATGACTAAATGGGGCCACTTATAGCATTATCTTCTTATAATGCATTGTAATGGGTACACATTAATGATACCATATTCATTATAGTGAGAGAGTGAGTCTACTTGTACTTAATGTACATATGTACACATACTACTACTCACTCTACACTTCTTCTAAGCTACTGTAGCATATCGATACATGCAATTAAAATGGCATTTTTAATATAATTGGTATATCAATATCCCCTTGTCCTGTGACCCATTGCTGTGCTCAGCACTCATCACTATCTGTTGATTAGCTACTGGATGAGACTGTTGATTGCCAGCTCAGCTTGTGAACTGTTTGAGATCACTGTAATACCCAGCTAGGTCCTAATATGCTAGTGTCAATGGTACTATTGTCATCTAGCATATTATGATATGAGTAAGCACATGGCAAGTGTTAATGAGTGTCTGCCCATGTGTACATGTATAGTATCAATTTAACAACAATTATTGCTGAGTAAGTATCCTTCTTCTGTCAGCATGTTGACATATTATGTACAGGATGAATGTCGGTTGGTGGTGGACTTTTGGACTTCCTCTTGTTGAGATATGTATGCCTGTATGGTCTGTAACTGAGAATTCTTAAACATTGATGTCATGATTGTCATCCTTTGAGTGTTTATGTGAGAATGTACTTAATTATATAAACTGATTCTCAGTGTGGTCATGATCTTATGATTGTGTTATTAAGTATGAGGATTCATGGTAACTGCTTTATAATAGTGCATTATGTCACTCACTCTCACTCTCTCTCTCTCTCTCTCTCTCTCTCTCTCTCTCTCTCTCTCTCTCTCTCTCTCTCTCTCTCTCTCCCTCCCTCTCTCTCTCTCTCCCTCCCTCTCTCTCTCTCTCTCTCTCTCTCTCCCTCCCTCTCTCTCACTCATTTTTTTATTTAGGAAGGAACTTGTCCAAAGTTAGCTCCTGATGTTGATATATCGTTGATTGCTCTTGATGAAAGAGCAAGCGGATACTCGTATGTAAAGTATCATATGTCACTGCTCAAGCTGTATATCCTGTTACATGCACATGCTCGTGTTTCATGTAAAAATAATTTATTTTTAGTAATCAATACTGCTAGGTGTGTATGTGTGATTCAATAGTCTAGTGGCAGTAATGTGTACATGTATGTATTGTGCATGTATCTGTAGTGTGTGCGTGTGTGTGTTTTTAACTTGTTACTCTCTCACTGATCACCGCTAGCCTCTTTGAAGTATGTTTTGATGAATAGAAGAGGATATGCCTCTCTTTTCCTCCTCTCTCTCTCTCTCTCTCTCTCTCTCTCTCTCTCTCTCTCTCTCTCTCCTCTCCTCTCCTCTCCTCTCCCTCTTGTTAATTACAACTATGAGTTTATTTATTCTATCTATGAGGCATAATAGTCCTTCTGCTTATAACATTCTGATTATATTATATATATGTTCATGCATGCACTAGCTTGCTTATTGTGTGGTTTGTTTATTGTTATAGGCATGGCTACCTTTCCATCTACATGTTATCATTGTTGCCTTGCTCCCTTGGGACATTCTTTTCTATTATTTTGAAGCTTAGATAGAGTGGGAGGGAGACCCATACACAATCCATTGTACCAGCTGCAGGTCCTCTGTATTCCTCCCTGTCCTGTGTACTTTAGACCAATGCCTATCTGGCCTATTGTATTGATGGCTTCATTTGGAATGTCATGAATATCATTGGAACGGCTGTGAATGAGCTTAACCACCTCTTCTTTGATTATCACCCAAACAAAAAGAGAGGCGTATTTGTTTTGATATGAGCCTCTGATGTAATCCTTTCCCTTGAATCTGGTTGGCTGGGGTTATTCCACCTGTCTGTAGATGGAGGCATCCTAGCTGATATTCATTCCTTCCCTTATCTTTGATTACCTATAAAACTACTTAGCCTCCCCACAGGATATTATCTTTGGTACTGTGAATAGTGTAAAATGACAATCACTCTTTGCAGTGTTTATTGCTAGCTGGCAGAGTTATTGCCTGTGTTTTCCATGCATAACTTTGATGAGATTATTGTTGTTGTTTATGAGTGTGTTTGCTTGTGTGGTTTTCTCTGTGATTGACATCTTTTATTAATCCCCTAGTCTCTCTTTGTTTCTCTGATTACATCTCTCTCTCTCTCTCTCTCTCTCTCTCTCTCTCTCTCTCTCTCTCTCTCTCTCTCTCTCTCTCTCCTCTCTCTCTATAATACAATGCTATGGTTGCTGTATGATCCATGTGTACTGTACCCTCCTATGTGTAACGTGTTGTAAAACATAAGCCACTAATGTATCTTTACACCAGAAATGGAAGTTGTGTTCACATCATATAAGCATGCATAGCTTAATACATTAGATCTGTCCTGACATCATTATATTTGCATTGTGTGATTGTGTATGTTTAATTAGTGGCACTTTGTACTCTATCATCCACCTACATGCACACTCATTAGGATATGATGTGTTTATCTCACACTCAAGACTATAATATTGATCACATTCACACGTCACCTTGTCCCCTCTCTCTCATATATTTCCCTTACTGACACACACACACACACACTTCATCACAATGGGCAAGCACAATAACACTTACCCCCTATTCACTCTCCTCCTTCACACCTTATGTCTTCTCTCTCTCTCTCCCCCCAGAGGTGCTGATCTTGCAGCATTGGTGAGAGAAGCTTCAATTAATGCCCTAAAGGAGATAATGTCACTGTCTCTTTCATCTCTTTCATTTCTTGGAGGTCCCTCGAGAAGTATGCTAACCTATGGCACTGAAGCCCTAGTCGGTCCTTCTCCAATGGTACAACAGAGACACTTTGATGATGCCTTTAAGAGAGTGCTCCCATCTGTTGATAGTGTAAGTAGGAAGCATTAGAGAGAAACCTTATTTTTTACACATATGCATATATGTATCTCTAATTGTATTGCTAGTATTATTATCATACATGACGCCCACTTTGAACTTTTATGGTTACGTCTGGGCCTCTTACTCTCTCTCTCTCTCTGTCCTCCTCCTCCTCTATTACAATGAGTAATTATTGCTTGTTAATTTAGAAACCTTATCCTTCCTAGTCATTGATTGACTGTTATCATCATACCGCCCACATTAAATTTGTATGGTTTGTGTTTCTCCCTCTTTCTCTTCCTCCCTCTCTCTCTCTCTATCTATGGAACATTGGTGTGTCTATAAACCGTCTTAATAACCCTCTACAAGGCTGCCTTTTAATCCCGTTATAACATAGGCGTGTGAGCATATATACGCTTATCTCCTTATTTTAATGAACCTTTATATGTGCAGCTACATAATCTAGTAGTCTCTGGTGTAATGCTTTGTATAAATATTTTATTGTCTGGGCCATGAATCTGATTTGCTTAAAAATGAAATTGGGTGGGAATGTGTACTGAGGCTGTAGCATTTGCGGTGGTTGTGACAGTGGCTTTCTACAATAACATAAGCTTAGTTTATCCTTCAACAATTAAGGGACTTCTCATAACATTCTCATTGTATTATCCATTATATATGGCTCAGGTGTCACTGACAAAATCTCACTTATAGAGAAAGTCCCTCTTTTTTAAGAGCATGGGCCGGGCCGGGCCGGGCGCACACAAAAATTGTCTCTTTTTAATTTTTCTCTCTTACTCTTGTGACATTCTACTCTCTTTCTCTCTCTCTAGAAATTGCAGCGCAAATAGAAGTTGCAGTTAACTGGCAGATTGGAAATCAACAGAAATTATTGACAAATTTTATTTTCTCAAAGAAAAAATATAGAATGGTTTAATAATAATAATATAACTAAATAATAATATTATTATTATGACATAGTAATAAATAAATTGTGTATACACAAATCCATGATGGAGCGCTATATTGAACAATAAACGACAAAAACAATAATAATAATAATAATAATATTGATGATTGACAAATTTCAGACTCTCTTGAATAAATAAATGTTAAATGTGTGGGGCACTGTGAACAAATAATTAAATAATAATAATAATAATTAAAGGGCAGCCAATAAATAATAGCAATAAATAAGGGATTGAGATTAAACCTGTTTTGGGGATTATAATGTTTGATAGAATGTATAGGGGGAGAAAAAGAGAGAGAGGGATGGAGGAGAAAGAAGATAAGCTAGTTCCAGTAATATAAAAAGGTGCTAAATATTTATGACAAAGATGAGCAATATACACATGAAGAACTGTGTTCCTACAATTTGCACTTACAGCCAAAAGCAAGGGAAACACGTTAAGTGACTGATTAGTGGACAATACACAGACAGGTGTCTCCCTCATTCTCCCTATGGAGAGCCTCCTTCTTTACCTTCAAGGTATGTGGCACTCAGAGAATTGAGCTTATCAAAGACAGGCAGACGACTGTGACCAGCTCCTACGAAAATCCCATCGTCAAGACTAATACTGGAGAACGTGGTAGCAAGCTCGGTCTCTTCAAAGCTTTTGATCATGGGCTTTACGGGAGAGAGGGAAGTTGAGGAGAGGGAGGAAGAGAAGACGTCAGTTTCTCCGAGCATTGAGTCAACAGGTGACGAGTATCCATTACCCCATAGAGACGGATCCTGAACATATTCGTAACCATCTTGAGGCTCGCTTGGCTCAAAAACAGGAAAATCGAACACTTTCCCGTTTCTTCCGCTCGTCCCAACAAAGAACATTTTATTATCGTCTGGTGACGAGATACCCGAGTCTTGAGAGGGACTGGTGGGAGGGGCTGGGATGATTGGACGCGGGAAAGAGCGAGCCCTGTCGATACCCTGGGACTCGTTCTTGGAATGAATGAAGTGACAGCGACTGCCATAAGGACAGTAACCGGTGGAGTAAAAGGTACGACACAGCTCCGTCTTGTATTTCGGATGACGAGGGAGGGACCTTAAATCGTGCATCCCGTGAGCAAACTGACACTTCTCCCCATACTTGCAGTACCCGTACTCCTGGTAGGGACGACAGAGCTCGGTCTTGTAGCGACAAGCATTGAGACCCAGTGAGCTGTTGAGTCCAGCTGTGTTGAGAGAGGAGGAGGAGGGAGACGTAGAGAGTCGCATTTGATCAGGCTTGGGTACAGTGGGGCTGGCTAGGTAGCTGGGACAGTGACTGTCATTGGTTGAGAGTGATCTCTGCCTCATGGTTTCAGTATCTGGCTGTATGTGTGTGTGGGGGAAGAAAGAAAACGAAAATAAAAGGATTGTTTCAAAATGACATTATAGAAGAGAGAGTTAAAAATGAAAAGGCAGCCATTGTATGCAATATCTCCCTTTATTTCACAACCCCATCTCCCATTCATGCGAATGCCTCCGGCTGTTTGTTCTATGTACAATACATAACGACACGCTCTCTCTATCACACTGCTTATCTCAATAACTTACGCGAGGGCTCTCGAAGGAGAAAGAAGCTTCCCTGTGCATCGTTTACTCTAGTTGCTGTCTTTGTTTACCAGCTGAGTGTTTAGAAGCCTGTGGTCCCGTCCTTGATCTGTTGCAGAAAGCGAGCAAAGCGAGAAAGGATTTAGAGAGAACTGGTGCTCCTGCAGTCTCTTCGAAAGTTTAGAGCTCTTTTTGGCCTGAAAGAGGCTACTGTCTATTGCCGTAGGGTTGACTGGGCACTCTCTTCGTAGCCTGTCCTTTTAGTTTACGTTTATATACAGAAGGAATGCTGATCCACGGGGTATGGAGGAAGCTATGCAGCCATTTGATTGGCCAGCAAAGGTCAAGAGTCACTGATCGTCTAATGTCGATCAAAAAGTATAAATTAGATTAGACAAAAATACAATAATAAGCAGTACAGTGGCATCACGTGCTTATTCTTAATTAGTGGGCGTGTCGGCTAACTATATTAATTAAAATCCTTTTATAGATAGATAGTAAAAGAGATTGCCATTCTTAAGCAAATTATCACCTCAGCAGACTATGAGACTAGCATTTTGTTATGCAACATAATTGTACGTAAATGAAAACACGGCAGACAAAACAGCAAAGCACAAGCAGTGTTGATTACTAGCTCAGGTTGATAATCACCTCTCTCAGGTTGTCAGGGGCTGAAAATTATGCTAAACATTGTTGTGCAAGAACAATTAATGCTTCCTTAGATGCATCAATAGTAGATAATAATAGGCTTAAAGTTAAATGATTTTTAATAACAAGTCACATGACATAGGAGAAAAGCACGTGCGTTCTAATAACAAGTAGGCGTGGCCTATTCTTTGCTGGTAGACAATGGCTGCCCCGGGGACACCAATGGAGGGGTCTAACGGGCCAACGGGCGAGAATATAGCGAGTACAAGGCAGGCCCCACCTCCCCCACCCTATAGGATACTCAGTAAAGAGTACATGGCTCAGCAACTCCCTCACTTACAAGAGAAAGCGCCCCAGCAACCAAAAGTGAGACCTGACATAGCCACACCTTCCTTATAAAGCTCACCTCAACCCTCCCCTGCCTTCTCTTTTCCCTTCTCTCTTCCTCTAGGAGCCATTAGAGTTCAAGACCAATGCTCCAGCCTCCCTTCCCCTCCCCTCCCTCTTTCCTGGTGAGGTGGTCCGTATGCAGCAGCACAGGGTCGTTTGTACCGATAGCTTTGAAGAACCGGCTGTAGGCGTGGTCTATGTTACTAATTTTAGGATTATATTTAATGGGAGCCCTGTATCGGTGAGATTAATTAATTACACATTAACCTAATATGTAATTACCTTGTAATCTACATGTACATGTGTAAATTTGCAATTAATTTTTCTACTCTTTTTGGTGTTGGCATGACCAATTTCTGTTAACTTTTCTCCATCAGAAGTGGTGTCCGTGTGTCACAGTTGATTTGTTTATTGTTTGTTGTTGTTATTATTTATTATTGGGGTGCCAATGTCACCTGAATACACCTCTAGTTGCTGTTATATTATAATCAGTGATAAGTGGTGGATGTACATGTACATGTATGTCTATCTCTCTCTCTCTCTATACAAGCTACTTTATTCTTTTTGTTTATTATTAAACTACAATGCATGTGTCTTTTTATTACTACTAATGCATACTCTATTCTATTAGTGTTTATGTTTGTGTATTGTAAGGTTTTTTCCATTGCATAAAACACACATTATCTTATTGTCCATTCTCTCTCCCTCATGTCATTCATTTATCTTTCGCTTGCTGTCGTTCTGTATATCATTGTTTGATATTCTCTTTGTTTAGTCTATCTAACACAATGAGGCTAATGGCCTATTTGCACATTTTCTTTGGGATTGGTTGGCAGCTGTAAAAGGAAAAAAATGAAAAATAGATACACAGTCATGTACATGCACACAGTGGCGTAGCTAGCCTAAATGAAGAGCGAGGGCACAGTGGGGGCACTGAATAAAGCAATACTTATGAATACTCAATATAGCAAGCTCAGTTGAGTCAGTTGCAACTTGTGTCTCTCCATTTTTTGACTAGCTGCAGGGGCACAAGAAGCAGTTATAAGAGCATTTGCCCCCACAGGCCCTTATGTAGCTACGCCACTGCATGTACATGTACATGTACGTCTGTGTGTGTGTGTTTGTGCATGTATATGGTGGTAGGAGGGGAGAGAAGGATAGAGGGAGAGAGTGCATCAATTGTATGTTTCTTTCTTAACTGGCAGATGACACTGCATATAAATATGTTATTTTAGCATGTACAAGTATATACTGTGAGTTATTATTGATTATGGTTACATTTTCTCATATACATGTGCGTGGGCTGGTGTGTATTTTTTATAAATATACTTGGGTATTGGTGTTTGTTCTTAGTTCCGTGTCATATTGTAATCACTTTTGGTATCAGTGTATGTTTAACTCGTGCTCTCCATGCCTTACATGTACATTCTGCATGTACTAGTTTCTAATTATAGTTTGTGTGTTTATAATGGACTCATTATGATCTCAGTGAAATTAGTCCTGTTTCTGTGTTAGTACTGTGTCTGTGTGTATATTCACATATCATCACCAAAGACATAATTATTAGGAAATAGGGACTACCCTGGTATATTCCCTCTACCTGGATAGATTACAGAAACCATATCCACACTCATACCACTGTGTACATACAGCACATGATATAGTGTGTATTATGTGTGCTGTTAGTATATACTGTATGTACAGTATTGTAGTTATTTCATGTGTCAATCATATCTTCCTCCAAATCAAATTTGAACTAAATAATATAGTAAATTATGTCCCTGACTCCCTATCATCTCTTTCTTCCTTTGTTCCATCCTTTCCTCCTGTATTTATTTCTTTCTTTCCTTCCCTTCAGGATCCTGATGTTTATGAAATCTTATACGACTTACAAAACTCCACCGCCTCCTCAAAGAGAGGAACTGTAGATCCTAGTACCCTCAACTCCCACTTGTCTGGTGGCAACATAAAGACACTCGTCTGGAAGAAGAAACAGCCTCAGCCCTCGTCTCCGGTCGCCCCTCCCCGTCAGTCAAAGTTTTATGTAGGAAAAACGGAGCCAGAGGATTATGCTGGAGACAGAGAAGATGAAGATGGAGGGGAGGACGAAGAGAAGCAAATTGCTTTGTGAGTTACATGGATATAGTTACATGCCTACTTGTACAGGCAGGGATTCACTCTTGTTGCATGCATATACATGTACCTAAGTAACTTGACATGTACATGGACATTGTATTTTATAAAAACGTTTAAGCCCCTCTCTACTTTTATACCTATTCCTACCTATGATTGGTGTAGGATATCATGTGCAAATTGTCTCTCTTCCACTTCCTCTCTTCTCCCTCTCTCTCTCCCCCCCTCTCTCTCTCTTTATAAACATGTTTGTGATAGATACTATTTATGATAAACCTAGTAGAGGCTGATACAGTCTATCTTAAGGAAGCGATTGTTTTCTAAACTGAGCATTAGTTTATTGCAGTTTACACTTTGTGGATATTTTTTTCTTTCCATCTTCAAAACATTGATTTGGCAGCTGCACTTTGTAAAGATCTTTCCCCCTCTCTCCATCCCTTACTCCCTTTTTTTTCTCTGTTTCATTGTTTGCCTGTTTCTGTTTTTGTGGGTATATAATGATATCCAAAGGGACTTTCCTTTTTCTTGAGGTTTCATTTTGTGATGTGATTATCCCTTTCACTCCTTCTCCCTCTCACGTAAACACTTGTAATTTTGTTAGTGGATTCCCCCTTATCGCTCCATTACTGAAACTTTATTGAATATTGATGTCTTTATGTCGTACTTGTGCGAAATTTAGCTGATGTTGATCATAGTTTTTTTTGATTGAAAAGTGACAAGTTTTGGGAAAGCATGTTTCTTTCCAAAAATTATTCGTCACCAAAACAGTTTTTTATCACATTTTCTGGTTGCATTGTTGTCCTTTTGTACATGTAAAAAAGCTGATTCTGACGTGTGTACATGTACATGTACATGTATATGTGTGCTTCCAGAATCAGTTCTGATTAGGGTTTCCCACAAAGCATGCTAAGTGAGCTAAACAGCATGAGCTTTATGAGCTGACAAGGACTAAGATACAGTATATGGCATTTGGAGCAACTTTAAAAATTAATTTAAAAATCCAAATTTTATTGTAATCAGCACAACATAAGAACATGTATATGTACAATGTATAAAAATAAGTTATAAAAATGCAGAATTCTCTCCTTGTGATTTTTGTCGAAATACCCTCTATTACTATACAGGGTTTGACAAGAAGCTGCATGAGCACTATAAGCCAAAATCCTCTGGCTCTAATGTATGTCTCATGTTTATAATAATCATTACCTTTCTCTCTCCTTCTAGTCCTACTAAATGGTTCCAACGTCTTAACACTATCAGGAAGTCGACAGGTGCCGGGATAAAGAATGCTATTGGGGATATTTCTGCCGACATTGCTAAACGGAAGCAAAGAGGTGGCCAGCAGCAGCAGAACCCGGCAAGGATCACCCAGTCTGTCCCAATATCCTCCCTTGCTGTCTCTGGGGACGACTCTGTTCTCTATTCATCAGTTCCTAATAAACCAGCTCCCCCTCAGTTTCTCAACCTTGAGGACAAACCAGTGACGCTCCCTAGGAATATGCCGAGTCACAACACTCAAGTGACCACACCCCCTGACAACCCTCTCCACATGGCTGACAGTGGTATAGTGGATGCGTCAGTGGAGACTGCCTCTCCCTCTCTCACCTCTCCCCCTCTCCCCACGGCCTCTCCCCCTAACTCTACCTCTCCATTGAGTCAGTTTTCATCCTCTGGTGATGTCTTCCTCGATGCATCAAACACCGATGAGATTGACTTTGAGCGTTCACCGATTGATTTCCCTCTCTCTGACGACAGGAGACGCAAGACTGGAGGAGGCAGGGGAGGACGTCAGCCTCGCCCTTCCTCGTTCCTCGGGATTGAATCTGATTCTGATTCTGACGCGATCACTGATAAGTACTTTGGTAGCATCACTGAGGAGGATGACAATGACGACATCACATCACCGGAATCAGTTTCAAGTCCCTCGAGGACCAACCAAGGGAACTACGAGAATGTTGTACTTAAAGTTCCTTCTCCTGTTCACTCCTCCCCCGGGAGAGGAGGGCGGGGCACTAACTATGAGAATGTGTCGCTGAAGAAGCCGGAGATACATGTACGTGTAGAAGGAGAGGAGACTGGAGGTGACTATGAGAATGTATCTTTAAAGAAACCAACAGAAGAAAAGGAAGACAATGAGAGGAGAGAAGAAGAGAGAGGAGGAGGAGGAGGAGGAGAGACAGGAGATGATCTTGGTCATGAGTTAGAGGCTACTCTAAGAGTGGAGGCTGAGGGAAAAGATGATGAAGGAGAGACTCAGGAACTAGAGAAAACAATAAAAGAAGAGAGACCAACAGGAGGAGATATCCCTTCTCTTCCTCCTACTACAGATTCTGACAAGACAAACAAAGAAATAGAGAGCACTCCAGAGCTGAGAGACACAAGTAAAGACAAGAAGAACCAAGACACAATCAGTGAAAAGGGACCACCCACTGAAACTGGTGCTAAAGTCCCTGCTAAGCCCCCTAGGAAAAAGAAGCGATCCAAAACAGCAGCTGATGCTATTGATGAGTCAACTGAAGCTAAAAGACCCTCTCTCATTGTAGAGGGATCCGAGGGCTGGCAGAGGTCTCATTCTGATGGTCCTACGAGGACTTCTACTCGACGACGCCCACCGCCTCCCCCCAAACCTAAAACCACACCCGCTGCATCTGAGACTCTGCCCAATTCTCACTCGGCGTTAGAAGTTAAGAGTTCAAGCGAAACTGACCTCTCCTCCCCTAGTTCCCCTCCCCACGTCCCCCTGCACCCTCCACTGGACCGGAACTCTTCTCTTGTTGCTGTTCGTGGGTCGGAGTATGTCCGCCCATTGACTGCCTACTCTCCAGTAATGGACAGCTCCTTTGAATATACTGACTGGAGCGGACGCTCTAAGTCTAGTTCCCACAAGTTACACGACTCCAATAGTTTACCATTGAACTTTAGTACCAGCACTAGCATGCCATACTGTAAGTATGTACATGTACATAGACTGTGTATTTTATTACTCTTAGCATATTGTTCTTGCATACATGTACATTGTATGTCACTGTCACTTTCATTGAAAATCACTCACTAAATTTACTAAAATGCATGTACCGTGAATATTCAAATAAAGGCCTGGCTTGAATAAACACCTGGTGCTAATATCTCCCAAGTATACATGTACATACATGTACATGTACTGATATCTTACTTAATATAGATACCCTTCACTTTAGAGTGTCCCAATTGGCCTAATTTGTTAAACCTAACTTTTTTGTTTATTTTTTGTCCTGCAAAGAAATATACGTCCGGGCTTTTATTTGAACATTTATGGTACATTTAAAGGATCATCATTATTTATAATCATCATCATCATCATTATTATTATTATTATTATTATTATTATTATTATTATTATTATTATTATTATTATTATATTTTGTTATATTTATAGATCAGTATACTCATACTGTGTCTCTGCCATTGTCCACCATTAGCAGTGTGAAGCACCTTCCTCCAGTGGTATTGGATGAGAGTAGTATCAGGATACCTGATGGTACACTAGTATTAGGAAAGAACTTCTCTTCATTAAAAGTAATTACATGTACATGTACATATACAATGTATACTACATCGTTATTACTGTATCTCTTTTTGCTGCATTTAAATGTCACAAGTTTTATGCATAAATAAGAGCTGCTGAAGTTACAGATCCATTCAAAAATCTGTTTTTTTTTGTAGCTTTAATTTTTGCAAATTGATTATTTTTATTTGTTCAAAAAAATTGTGAAATGCACAAAATTTATGTCCCTCTAAACTATATACAGTCTCATTATCATTTCTATTTTTTTCTCTCTTCCTTTAGCTTCACTTTCATTCCAGTAATACTTTTGATGCTCTAAAGTTTAAAGAATTCCTCGAAAATATAATCAGCGAGCCAAAAGTAATATTTGTAACAGTGTGGCACATTTCTAAAAGTTTTTATTCTTTTTAGCAATTTTATGACTACTTTGCTTTCAAGTACAGGCTGGCCATCAAGCTCCCCAATGCTCATATATTTGACTCTAGAAAACTTCCCAATTTCTTTCACTTTAATGGTGAGTCACCGTATTTCATAACTTTCTAAAACCTTGAGGTCAAGTATAGCCCTCGATATCATCTATTGAAACTTTTGGGACACGACTTTAGTTGTCTTTAATAACCTCACCACTTGCCACATGTAAACCACCTACTTACCACGACACATCATACATGTACATGTACATGTACATGTACATGTACACTACATGCAGCTACATGTATATTACTCATTCATTTTTTTGTCGTGAAGTGTTCTCTCCCCCCCTCTCTCTTTATCTCTGTTTCCTCATTAAACTTTGTCCTATTATGATTGAGTGTATTGTTCTTTGATGTCTCATTCATCATATCATGTACATGTACATAACCTCTACCCTCTCTCTCTCTCTCTCTTTCTCATCATTCACACGTACTCTAATATAACCTGCACTCTCTGTTGAAATACACTGTACCTTCTGTTAGGGTTCATTGTGTCACAATTGTACTCTTGTTGTATTATTGTATAGTAGTACTTGTACTCTGTACCAGCTCCTAGTCTTATTCTATATTGAGTGACTGCCTATTATTTCATTCACTCCAACAAACTGACACTGTTTTCAGGCATGCACTAGTTGATTTCATACGAATATCATTTTTTGTTTATCAACCTCCTGTACACCCATTAGTCATTAGTGTGTCATTAACTTAGCTCTTTCTCCCTTCCTTCCCCCCTCTCTTTCTCCATTCCTTCCCCTCTCTCTCTCTTTCCCCCTCTCTCTCTCTCTCAGCTGAGATGGAAAGGACTGGTATATTAAATGCAAAGATTGGGAATACTTCTCTTTGGAGGATAACAACAATCACTAAGACAAGTTAGCAGCTTCCCTTATTAAAAAATTAAACTATAATGTTCCCTCTCTCTCCCTCAGATCCTGATCTCTGTCCCTCTTATCCAGAGAAGTTGGTTGTGTTGCTGTGTATCCCTGATGTTGACCTGTTGAGAGGAGGGAGGATATACGAGGAGGGGAGGTTCCCCACTGCCACCTGGATGAACAAGTCCAATGGCTCAGTCCTCCTAAGAGCAGCTGCCACTACCTCTGAAAGGTATTGTCACTTTTTTGTACATGTAACACACTAATAGATTACTGATAGTTTACTAATAGATTACTGATAGTTTACTTATAGATTACTGATAGTTTACTTGTAGATTACTGATAGTTTATTAATAGATTACTGATAATTTACTAATAAATTACTAATATTTTTAAAATAGATTACTGATAGTTTACTAATAGTTGATTAATAGATTACTGATAATTTACTAATAAATTACTAATATTTTTAAAATAGATTACTGATAGTTTACTAATAGATTACTAATATTTCAAAAATAGATTACTGGTAGTTTACTAATAGATTACTAATAGTTTATTACTAGATTACTGATAATTTACCAATAAATTACTGATATTTTAAAAATAGATTACTGATAGTTTATTAATAGATTACTGATAGTTTACTAATAGATTACTAATATTTTAAAAATAGATTGCTGATAGTTTACTAAGAGATTACTAATAGTTTATTAATAGATTACTGATAATTTACTAATAAATTACTAATATTTTTAAAATAGATTACTGATAGTTTACTAATAGATTACTAATATTTTAAAAATAGATTGCTGATAGTTTACTAAGAGATTACTAATAGTTTATTAATAGATTACTGATAATTTACTAATAAATTACTAATATTTTTAAAATAGATTACTGATAGTTTACTAATAGATTACTAATATTTTTAAAATAAATTACTGATGTTTACTAAGAGATTACTAATAGTTTATTAATAGATTACTGATAATTTACTAATAAATTACTAATATTTTTAAAATGGATTACTGATAGTTTACTAATAGATTACTAATATTTTTAAAATAAATTACTAATAGTTTACTAAGAGATTACTAATAGTTTATTAATAGATTACTGATAATTTACTAATAAATTACTAATATTTTTAAAATAGATTACTGATAGTTTACTAATAGATTACTAATATTTTTAAAATAAATTACTAATAGTTTACTAAGAGATTACTAATAGTTTATTAATAGATTACTGATAATTTACTAATAAATTACTAATATTTTAAAAATAGATTACTGATAGTTTACTAATAGATTACTAATATTTTTAAAATAGATTACTGATAGTTTACTAATAGATTACTAATAGTTTATTAATAGATTACCAATAATTTACTAATAAATTACTAATAGTTTATTAATAGATTACTGATAGTTTACTAATAGATTACTGATATTTTAATAGATTACTGATAGTTTATTAATAGATTACTAATATTTTTAAAATAGATTATTGATAATTAACTTATGCAGCCGTAGATTACTGATAGTTTACTTATAGACTACTGATAATTTACTAGATTACCGATAGTTTATTAATAGATTACTGATAGTTTACTAATGAATTACTAAAACTGGTTCTCATGCTATATAAGCTAACTCTCATTGTTTGGTTTTTATGTGTCTAGAGGCTTGCAGAGTTCAAAGTTGCCGGTTGATGAAGCGATACTACAAGCCATCAGAGGCTGTAATGCTAACTCAAGACTCTTTGTATTTACTGAGAAATCAGACACATCAGGGTGAGGAAGGATTATTTTTCGTCTTTTATTTTCCTGATACATATACATGTACATGTTCTTAACTTCTTATTAGTAACGCAGTAGCATTACTAAGTAGGATTCACCCCACTTCAAAATGGCTGCCATGACTTTTGCAGCCTTGCTATACCGGGAAATAGAAAATATAGTTGATTGACTCGATTCCAATTTAAATTTTTTTAAGTTGTTTAGAATTTGAGCCAAAATTTTTGTACTGTATACAGTACAGGGCCATTGACCAAATTTCACCAAAAATGACTAGGAGAGAATTCTTCATTTTAATTTTTTTTGATACATTTACAAGTTCTTATCTTGTGCAGAAAGTTTCAGCGAATTTCAATCAAAATTGGATTTGTAATGAATTTTTAAAAGCCCTCCAAAATTGGGCCAAAATCCATGTACTATTATAGTACAGGGTCATTGGCCAAATTTCACCAAAATGAATTTGTGAGAATTCTTCATTTTTATCATTTTTCCTGATACATGTTCCTATGTGACATAGAAAGTTTGAACTGACTCTGATCAGAATTGGTTTTTTACAAATTTTTTAAGTTACTCAAAAATCAGGCCAAAGTTCCTGTACTGTAGTACAGGGATTTTAGCCAAATTTCACCAAAAATGACTAGGAGAGAATTCTTTAGTTTTATAATTTTTCCTGATACATATACATGTCCTTAAGTTGTTTTAAAAATGTCCGTTAATTTCAATCAAAATTAAATTTTGTAACAAATTTTTAAAAAGTTGCTCTTCACCAAAAATGGCTATGAGAGAATTCTTTGTTTCTCCATTTTTATATAATTTTTTCTGATGCAGATACCTGTTCTTATGTTGTGTAGAAACTTTGAGCTGATACTGATCAAAATTTGAATTTTTAATGAATTTAATATTGTACAGTTCTTAAGCTCTCCATTCACCAGGCAACATGTTGCTAGCGGTTAATTTGATTTTTGAGCCACTTGTTCCAAAAATAGAACTGATTTCTATTCTTAGGAACATGTTGATTACAAGATCAAAGAAACCACAAATGTTGCTTACAACATGTTGCCTGGTGTATGGAGACTCTTAATTGTAAATTCATAAAGCATATGCTGTTCAGCTCACTTAGCTTGCTTTTTGGGAGACCCTGGCCTAGAGGAGAGAAAGAGAAGAGAGTTTGTGTGTGAGAGAGGGAGGGAGGTTGAGGTTAGATTTGAAAAGGTTAGCTGAGTATAGAAAGGTGAGACAGTTTGTCTAGACCCAATAAGGAAGGACAGTTCAAAAAGGACACCATGTTCATGATAATTATCTCTATTCTCCTTATTGTAGTTTCCAAGATCCTAATAAGCTTACAAAAGAAGCAGCTAGATGTAAGTCACTAACTCATTATACATGTTGTTACATTGTGTATGAGGTTGATTCTTCACTTAAACTTGGTTTATTTCATTAGTGCTACTGACATTTAGTTGCATGTCCCTTCCACAATATCAATCCTGCCTTTGTAAAATTCTGAAAGTCACTCTAATTTAGCTCTTTCTCTTTGTGTGTGTGTCTCTCTCTCACTCTCCCACTCTCTCTCATATTCATTTCACCTCCTCTCTTCAGCTTATTATTATCACAATTGTCATTTCATTTATTCTGTGAATCCTCCCACTTACAAAAGCGTTCGTCATTCCTTCAACAAGTTACAAGCAATGCTCCAGAGCAACATGTAAGTATATAATCACGTATATCTGACCCCGCCTCTTGACTCCACCCCTTTAGTTCTGATGATGAGTACATGGTGACACTAGACGGTACCAAGTGGTTGTCTAGGGTTGGTGATCTTTTAGATACGGCTCATAAAGTCGTTGAGGCACTTACTGTTGAATCTGCTCACGTTTTAGTCTGCTATGAGAAGGGATGGGATAGAACAACACAAGTAATCATCATCCATTTTATTTTTTTATTTACTTATTTATTATTGATGTACATTATTTTATTATTTTTAATTAAAATTTTGTATGTGAAAAAAAGGGGAAAAAGCCAATTATGTTAATATACTTTTGATCTTGGTATTATTTATCTCTTTTGTCTTTAGATTGTTAGTTTAGCTCAATTACTCTGTGATCCATATTACAGGACAATGGATGGATTCCAGGTACATGATTTACTCTATAGCGGGAAATTTTGGAGGGAATTAAATTTGTTGAATTGGCATTTTGATAGCCATTCGCCAAAATAAAATCCACCATTTTGAGCCATTATATGCATGTTCGATGGCACGTGGCCACAAATTTGCCAAATTAAAACTCGCTAATCACCAAAATTTAGCAATTTGCCAACTTTAACTCCCTCCAAAATTTCCCACTACACAGTAGACACATTTCATAAATAGGATCCTAATATATTACCTAATATTTGTGTGTGTTCTGTTTTAGGTGCTGATACAAAAGGAATGGCTTTGGTTTGGTCATCCTTTCCAGTCTCGTCACAGTCGGAGCAGAGCCGCTGTGGGCGGGGCCAGCTCTAAGATCAAAGAGGACGGGCCAGTGTTCCTCCAATGGATTGATTGTGTCTGGCAGGTCAGTCCATATCCAGTATATTATATTCCACTTTTTTGTGATTTCAACTTTTTTGTAATACATACTGTACACGATTTTATTATGTTATGTATCAATTTTGAAAATTGAGTTGAGTCTGATCAAAATTAGATTTTTTTTGAATTTAAAAAATTGCTCAAAATTTAAGCCAAAGACTAATAATGCATGTACGTTTGTACTGTCTTCATTTCATGTGTTTAACTCACTCAGTATGCTTTATATAAATGTACATGTATGAACGCATGTTATTGTCATGTACAGTACATGTGTGAAATGTAGTACTATACATGTGATGCACATGTGCTAACTTTTAGGAGTCTCCCTCCACTGGAAGAGGCTCATAGTCTCTAACTGTGATCATTAGGAGATTGTGTGTGTGTTTGTGTGTTTTTAAGTTAACATTGCATAACACACACTGTCTCTCCTTGTTTGTGTTGATCCTAATGTACACATGTCCGCTGTTTCTATGGTGATCGACAAGGTGTGAAGATGTTTGTGTTAGATTGACCTTTAGTTTAATTGCCACTTTGACCTCATAAGCTAGGGACACTCACTTCTAATTGAATGTAGTGTAAAGGATTCTTGTTTTTAATTTATTTATTAATTATAGATTATTGTGATGATGCCATTGTGTTAGACCTATGTCTGATGATGTAATGAAATCTATTATTGTTCTAATTTGTATTTAATAAATCATGTTAATTAGCCAATTTATAGTATCAGTACATTATTATTTATTATTATTATTATCATCATCATCCAAATGTTATTATTATTAAATTGGCTGCTGTACTTCCTTTTTCTCTACCTTTTTTCAGCTCCTCCTTTTCCCACTCTCTTTCTTTCTCATTAGTTATTTTACCCAACCTTAACACACATTCATGCATATGTACATGTACATACATACACATAGATACATACATAATTATATATATATATATGTGTGTGTGTGTGTACCTGCTATTATTCCATTATTGCTGATTGATAGTAATACTTGACATTCCATTCTCACCTGCCGCTCTCTCTCTCTCTCTCTCTTATCTCTTCAGATAACAAGACAATGTCCGTTTGCTTTTGAGTTCAATGAGAATTTGCTGATTGTAAGTTGTTGGACACATGTCCATCACATACGCTACACTCAGTCACACTCACTCTTTCCATCAGTACCCACTGATAGAACAACACTGAAATATGACTTGCATTTGATAATAATGAAATATAATGTCTCCCACACACACACACACACACACACACACACACACACACACACACACACACACACACACACACACACTCACTATATCTTAGGCTCTGGTTGAACATGCTTATTCCAATCAGTTTGGTACCTTTATGGGTAATTCTGAGAAAGAGAGGACACAGGTAATCAATCACTAATCAGCTCTATTGTGTGTATATAATACTTCTTTAATGAAACCATTCACTTGCATACACAATACATACAAATGCTCCACGTATACATGTACATGCACGTAATGTACATGCCTACATATGCCACGGGTACACAATGTTTATTGTAGTGTTTCATGATACCTGATCATTATCATCAATCAATCTACACAAACACGATATCGTTCTGGACTTGGGTTTCTATGGTCAATTCTAGCAACAACATATTTTTCAATAATTATTACGATCCTGACTTTCATAAAGGGTAAGGAGGGAGCTATGTGTGGATGTGATGTGTAATGTATTTTATCTTTTTTTTTTGAAATTAGGGCTATTTATCCAAAGTTTTATCAAACTTGTCTTGAAATTTGGAGGACACATTATGACAGGCATAAGCTGAGACAGGTACATTGTATACTCATGTACATATACTGATTGGTTGCATTCCTTTCTCATCACTCCTTTCTCTCCTCCCCCCCTTTCTCTCTCTCCTCCCCCCCTCTCTCTCTTTCTCTCTCTTTCTCTCCCCCTCTCTCCTCTCCCTCTCTCTCCAGGAGGTATCAGAAGGTCAGTGTGGTACTACAAGGCTAGAAAGGGAACTCCATCAAGTGACAAAGCTCCTTCTGGTTAGCATTGTTTTCAAAATTGCCTGACCATTATATAATCTTCCACCTGTACTCATTAGGAGCGGCAACCATTATCCAGCCTCTCTTTAAATGTTGGTTTGACACTGGATAGCATTCAAAGTCTTCAGACCACCTCCTCAGGAGGTTAGAAACAATACAATATGTACAATAGATCTTTCTCCTATCAGTATTGTTATCATAATATTGCTTGTAAATATTAGATTTAAGTAAGAGACTTTTGTTGTTTTTTTTAGATACTGATGCACCTCAGTTGGGTCCTAACCCTCTCCCTCCTTCCACTCAAGCTGTTCTTGTCAGGGCTCCTGTAGGTAGGAGGAATTATAGCAGTGTGTCCAGCTTCTTAGTTGCTGAAGGTTTGTGTGGTGTGGGCAACATTATAGCATCTAAACTGATTCTTTATTCTAACTTACTGTGTTCCTTTAATTGTATCTACATTGTATGATCTGTTTGTATCTCAATCTGTTTCTGTTCATTTATAAACTTCATCTCTCTCTCTTTCTCTCTCTCTCTCTCCCCCTCCCTCTCTTCCATTAGGTTATGACCCTAGTGTATGTCATCATGTTGTCCTATCCCCCGCTAAGTGTCAAGGCTATTTGACCAAAGAAGGAGGTAAGTGTATGATGAGTACTAAAGGAAGGAAGGAGTATACATGCACCTGGTGCCTCTGTACTTACACTATCTTGTGGTATCGTCAACATTTTAATGTTCTCTTTTAAGGTTTCATGAAGAATTGGAAGAGGAGATGGTTTGTCTTGGATTATGTTAATAATTATGTTGCATATTTTGAGTCTCAGGAGGTAAGTGGATTGTTATTGGCATTTGATGACCTGTGAGCTAACATTAATGCTATCCAGCATGGGCATTATGCATGTAGCTTCTTTTCTGTCTTTATATTTTCTTTTACCTTTTGCTCCTGATTTTCTATCATTATTTTATATAAATCATATAGATGCATGTGCTGTTTCATTATCTCTTTTTCTCCCTCCCTCCTCTCTCTCCCTCTCTCTCTCAGCATTACTCTCAAAGAGAGAGTCCTAAAGGTGTCATCATGCTGGATGACATAAAGAGGGTCTCCCTCTCAACAAGGCGAATCCACTTGATGTCCAACCTCTTCCAAGTCAAGACTCCATCCAGAACATACAATATCAAAGCTCCATCTATCATCACTATGGAGATATGGATGGCCTGTCTTAGGCTCCCATCTTCCTCTTTGCAAAAAACAAAAGAGTGAAGAAAGAGATATATAGATATTATATTATTTCAACTAATGTTTCGATTGAAATTATTATTTATTGTGTATGTATGTATGTATGTATGTATGTATGATGTGTGTGTGTAATACCTCTGTGTACCACTGCATGCGTGTTATTATTATTACTATTACTATTATTATTATTTGTATTATTTGAATTTTTAATGCAGTCGTGAAAAGTTCTATAAATTAGAAAATATTCACAAAAATCTAAAAAAAATAATTTAATTGTCTACACAAAAGCAATACAGAAAAAGAATTTGTGTCTGTGAAGTTTGTGTTATTAGTCTCTTCTTGGAATCAATAATGTGGAGATGCTTTTACTGTCACACATGCACACACAATAAATAGTCTATAGCTCCATCAGTAGCTACTTGCACTAGGTCAGTCTGATTTCAGTACTTCCACTGGCGCCATTTGATCATCAGTTCCATCCTCTTCATCAATGTCTTCGTCGTCTTGAGCAGCTTTTTTCATCCTCCTCCTTGCATTTGCAAACCATGTGGAGACCTGTTGAGGGAAAGAGAGAGAAAGGGTTGTGATTACTTCATTTTTAAAAGGTGTTCATGAAAGTGAAAAGGCTCAATTTATGCAGAATGTGACATTAATACTAAAGTTGGTATAGTGCATTATAAGTTTGTGTATTTCAACTTTAAGTACCTGGGTAAAGGTGAGTTGAGTTGATTGACAAAGGAGCATCTTCTCATGTCTTGATGGATAAGGATGGTCCTTGTGCTCTTCAAACCATTTGATAAGAGGTATGGCTCGCTCTGGCGTCAGCTTGTAACGTGGGGAATCATAAGATACTTTCGACACTGGATTGACTTGAAATGATGGATAACTGAAAGAGAAGGAATAATCAGTAAATTTAATATTGAAAATAAAATTCATAATTCCTAGCGTGCATGTAGGAGAAAATTAATTATCAAGCTTACTTCCAGAGAGTGAGGGAGGATGTGTTCCCAAGCCCAAAGGCAGTAGATTGTGGATAAGCTGAATAGTCGCTGGTTGTAAGAGGGTAAGGTGAAGCGAAATACCCAGTGGTTGTATTTGCGGGATAATTGCAAGCCGTGTAACTGAAAGGCATCGTAGCTGAAGCCCCTGGAGCTACGGCATTAGAGGCATAGCAAGAGGAGGAGGAGGAGGAGGAGGAACCGTCCCCAGTGCTGATGAGAGAGGAGTAATTGTAATTGTTGCTCTGGGACTCAACTGAAGACGATGAACACGATGTCATTGGAATCGAGGAATAGTACGAAGAGTAGGAGGAGGTGGAGCGGTAGTAGACTGGAGAGGGAGTAGAGGCAGTGGCCTCATATAGAGATGTGGCCGTCTGACCCTCTCCCGAGCCGAGAGGAGGAGGAGGAGAATAAGAGGCAGGGGAAGGAGACTGCTGGGGGCTGCAAGGGATTGGAGAGTTTGGAGACTCCTAAAAAATAATAATAATATAAATATTTTTATAATAAAAAGTAATATCGGCTGCAGTGCATTTTAAAGAAGAGGAACTTACTGTTGGGGATTCAACTCCGTACGAGAGTCCATCAGTGCTGAGAGGGTAATTTGAGCTAGACGATGATGAGGGGTAGCGACTGAATGAGCTTCCTCCTCCTCCAACTGCTGGGAAAGATGCCGTTGGGAAAGATGCTGCAGAGAGTCTTTGGAGCTGGTGCTGGTAAGGTGTGAGAGCAGTGGGGGAGTAGTAAGAGCCTGATCCTGGAGTGTAGCCATAGCTATTGTGATAATGAGAACTTGCTGAGCTGCATGAGGTGGGATTTGGGAGAGAGAGTGATGAGGTGCTACTACTGTAGTAGTCCCCAGGATAATAGCTAGGATAGCTCGGGCCTGATGCAATGGCAGCTAGTGGCGGGCTGGACTTTGGGTCTGGGGAGAAGCTAGATGGCTCTTGTTGTTGCTGTGGCTGCTGCTGGCGTGTAAGAGAGTAGGAAGAATTGCGCTGTTGCATTGCTAACATAGTAACAACTTGAAGTGAAGGGCAGAGTGAGCTGGAGAGAACAGATGTCTGTTGAAACTGAGCTAGGGTTCACTCACTCTGGTGAGTTTTATAAGGTCTTCTTGTCTATATGTAGGTACACACGAGGCGCATTAAAGTCTATAGTGGTGTGTACATACTAATATTCAATTATAACTGCAGCTGTGCAGCAGAGGAGGGTGGGGCTCCTTCTAATTGCAGCAAAATTGATTATTAAAGCTCCAAGATGGCGGGACCTCAGTGAATTAATATTTTAATGACATTTCCAGCCTTCGCGTCTGACCTGGAGAGACTGGGAGTCCTCCTGGGATCTGTTATAGGCCCAAATGGTTAGTAGATGTAATAGTAACATAATAAATGAATAAAAGTGATTAAAATAATTAAAAACGTGTGTTAGGCCTTGATGTAATGTACAGTGCTGATGGTCATATTCATACCACTAACTATGGCATAAAGCTACTTCAGTTATTCCCTTCCAAGCATCCAGTGAGCCTAATTCTTATAATAATGCTAATTATGTATTATTTTTCTTAAGATGTTTTGCATTCTATTTGACGCTGCTAGGTCCCTTCACAGTGTGACCGGTTCGTTGATGCATGTTCTCTCTACACAAAACCTGTTTTTCTGGCAGGTTTTTTGACTCCTTTATCTATCCCTCACAGGTGATGGGGCTAAGCGTTTTGTTATGATAATTGCAGCTGCTCTCCTTCAAGTATGTGCTTTAATTTGAAAATGTGGTTTGATATCTTAGAATTATCAGTGTGAAACATCTAATAGTCACATACAACCATGATCAGTCACTTACTCTCCTCTCCTCCCTCTCTCTCTCTCTCCCTCCCCCTCTCTCTTTCTCCCTCCCTCTCTCTCTCTCTCCCTCCCTCTCTCTCTCTCTCTCATTCTCTCACTCACTCTCTCTCTCTCTCTCTCTCTCTCTCACTCTCACTCTCTCTCTCTCTCTCTCTCTCTCTCTCTCTCTCTCTCTCTCTCTCTCTCTCTCTCTCTCTCTCCCTCCCTCTCTCTCTCTCTTTCCCTCCCTCTCTCTCTCTCTTTCCCTCCCTCTCTCTCTCACCTTCTCTTCATTCCTTTCCCCCCTCCCACTCATTACCAATATAACATCACAGCTCCATAAACATTGTCCAACCGCAGAATTACTGCAATGTAAGTCATGCACGTTATAACTAGGCCACAGCTAGTCTTGAGGTGAACCTCCTACCCCGGGACTGATGACGTACATCATGTAATTACTGGAGTCAGATGGATGTCTCTGACACATACAATTATGTCAACACATTATTCATATTTTTATTATTCTGTACCCGTGACCACCACTAACCCAGTTTATTTAGATTCTCGTGGTTTTGGATATCTCGGGCGACTCCTTAATAAGGATTTGTTGCCACAGCTACTGTCTTTGGTGAGCAATTTGTGCCATTGTGTCTCTGGCCAAATTATAATTATAATGATAATACCACAGCATACCAGCCCATTATGCTATGTACACAAATAACAAGGGACATGTATATGCATGTATATGTACATGTATATGTACATGTATATGTATATGTATGAGTTTACATGTACATGTATTATTGTACATTGTATTTGTGTTCCCGTAGCGTGGTGGCACTACTCCCTCTGGTGGCTGGGCATGTGGTGCTCCTCAAGAGGCCAAGTATGCTCGACACCTTCTGGACACATGTAAGACACAACGGGAACAACCTGTTTGATTTGATAGACTAACGAAACAAAAGGGATTCGTATGTGTGTGTACATGTACTTCTACCAGGAGGGATGATGACTGATACTCCCGACCTCTTACCCCCCCTAACCAATATTCATACCCTCCTACTTCTCTCTCTCTCTCTCTCTCTCTCTCTCTCTCTCTCTCTCTCCTCCCTCTCTCTCTCTCAGGTTTAATTCCTCATCATCAGTGTCATGTTAGAAACAAACTGAGGGAATTGCTGATCGAAGGACTTGGAGAGAAACCAAATATCACTGTAAGGAGGTGAGTGAGGGAGAGAGAGAGAAGATCAAAGAAGGAACAAAGAAAGATAGAACAATGTGTACCTAATGGTTATCTCTCTTTTTTAGTTACTAAATAATACAATTGATTGTTTCGAGTCTTTAGTTATGTTAGAAGCAGGTGGTCCTTTAGATCAATCTCACGCCATTTCAGGGTATGAGCTGTGTATTAACTATATGCCCTATTATCCTCAATGTATAGGTTCATTTTTAATGGAGACAACATAATAGGGTCAATACCTTCTTCTACTGATATTGTGTGAGCATATAATGGCAACGTATGATAGGACGATGATTTATATTGTTCTCATTAGGTCAGCCATTATAGTTAAATGTGGATTTGAGCCAGTCACTGCCTCAGACACAAACTTACTGTTAGTCCATACCACCATCTCCCTCTCTTTCCCTTTCTCTCTTTATTCCTCTCTCTTTCCCTCCCCGGCCTAGGCTTTCCCTCTCTCTCTCTCTATTTGTCTTTCTTTTATGCTATTTCTAGGGTTTCCACTCCATCAGATGTCAGCCGTTATTCCAACTATTGGTCTCATCATATTTCAGTCTTGTTACAACATGTTTACAGCTTTGGTGTTAGACTCATGATAGTACGTGGGAATATACCACTACTACTGACGGGGACACTCTCTCAGCGCCTGGAGCAACAGCTGTGCATATTAGTAGTAATTCCAACCTTATTCCTCCTCTCTCCCTCTCTCTCTCTCTCCTTCTCTCTCTCTCTCTCTCTCTCTCTCTCTCTCTCTCTCTCTCTCTCTCTCTCTCTCATTGTTATCATAATCTCTACTATTCACATACTTTAATTTGTTTACTATGTATTTATATTGTGATGAATGGTGTCTGTATTATTGTATATATATGGACTGTGTGTCTCATTCCATTAGAATGTCTCAGACGATACACTGAAAGCTATGGAGAAGGTGACTGGGGTCATACCTATAACAGAACTGGATGAATTAGTTGAGTATTACTAATGTGTCTTCACTGTGTTATAATACATGATTGTACATTATCCACATGTGAATGTACAAATGTACATATACACATGAATGTAAATTATGTACATGTATATATGAATGTACATGTACATGTAATATACATTATATGTGTACATATTATGTATAGGCTCTTGTTTGTGTTTATTTATTCATTTCCCTTCTCTCTTTCTCAGCTGTTTATTGACAATGCTAATATAATCAGTGGCACTTGCAAACTGAAAAGGTTCAATGCTACCAAGTGGGTTAACTTCTAATACTCAATAACTGAAAGTTCATGAACTTGCTTTGATCTACATACCCTACCCTCTCTCTTGGAATCTCTCCCTTTCTTTAAATGCATACGTGTACACTTTTTATATTCCTTTTAGTTATATTATTATTAATGATAATGGGACTCCCTCCTCTCCCTTTCCCTCCTGGTAAGTTTATTTTTTATTATTCCTGTGGTCGATGGGTTTGCCTAGCCTGCCATACCCAATATTTGTGTCTCCATGACCTACCCACCAAATAATAAGATATTTTGTGAGAAACCTCGTAAAAGGTCTTGACCTCTAATTGTCCTTATTAATATCATTAATTGACACTCCATTTGTTATGACAGTGTGGTGATTTGGCTTGTATAACTATAATAACTGAACTCTAGTCTATTATGAATAACAAAGGATTTATTGTCCATGCATATTTCTCCTGTACTATAGCCCATGGTTTTTTTGTCAAAAATGACTCAGAAAGCACCCTCAATTTTTTTACATTTTCTGAGACATATATATTGATGTCCTTATGCTATGTAAAAAATTTGAGCTGATTTTGACGGGAAATTTTCACGTTATGGCCATTTAAAGAAATAGGCCATTTTGTAAAAATACTCTGTATTATAGAGCCTATGCCTTTTCTCAAAAAATGACTCGGAAAACATTTCAAAACACCCCCCAATTTTTATTATATTTTCTAATGCTTATTAATGTCCTTATGCTATGTAGAAAGTTTGAGCTCATTCTGACAAGAAGTCTTTTAGTTAGAGCCATGGAGGCATTTGATACTCATAATCAATTCTTACGGTCAATTAACTATCATTTTGTTTACATTGAGCAGTCAATGGAGCAGATAAAACATTACGACTTAAAAAGAAAAATTCAACAAGTTTACTTGCGTATACGTATAAACACTGACAATTACCTGTATTCTCATAGACTCCATTGATAATTTTCCTGGCATAGCAAAGGCTGCAAAAGTCATGGCAGCCATTTTGAATTGGGGCGAATCCTACTTAGTAACGCTACCACATTACTAATAAAAGTATGATGAGAATGATTCTCCCATAGTTACTGTTAGTTTAGTCTCTTCATTCTCTGAGAAGAGAGACAGACAGAGCTCTGCCCATTATTTGTTTAATCACTTCTCCTAATCAAATTTCTCTCATACCATCTCACTCTCAATTTTACTATTAGATTGTATAATTGCTATTATCCTAATAATAACTGTAAACACTCTATAATGTGTCTGTGTATACATGCAATTGCCTTTTACTCACACACTGTGGTTCCAGAAGTTGTATTTGATACGTTACCAAACAGTCTGTCTCACTCAACTTAAATGCCACGGATGGCAACATTGGTTTTGTTGCTGTGGCAACCTTTTGTCGGCAGGCTGTCTCTTATGACCATAGACATTTCTTACCCGGTGTAGTATGTTTTCTGACCCAATAATTGCTTAATTGAATTAAATTGTGACATACACTGTACTGTATAAGCAAAAACATGACATGAGTATATGCTGTCTGATTGTATGTGTGTTTATGTGTGTGAGTGTTTTTTGAATATGTCACAGGCCGTGTTGAGTTAGTGTTGAATATATTAATTATTGTTGTTGACATTTCGTTGACATGTAAAGAGCAAATACAAAGGTTTTGAGAGAGAAAGAGGGAGAGAGGGAGAAAAAGAGAGAGACACAAAGGCATATTTTGGTTTCTGATAGTGTTCTGATCTTACCTTCCAACACAATGATCTAACCTTGTTGCATAGCTATGATGTAATGATATCTTCTCACACTCAGTTTGTGTTCATTTTTGTCCATTTTAATGTCCTTCTTAACATCCTTCCTAATAATTTATATCATATTTATGTTTTGCATTCCAAACCTCTGCGTCACTATAAATCATTAATTTTAGTGTAACGAGTTTCTTCCTCTCCTCTCCCACAATTGGACTAGCAAGGCAATTCAAATTTGCCATTTGGAACTGTCTCTTGGCTTTAAGGAACTCCCTCATCAGTGACAAGGTACTGGCATCCATTCCTGACATGATGATGGTGATGTGTATGACATGTTTGTATCATGTTTGTCCTCCTTCTCTTTCTCATTTGAACTCTCCTTGCTCTCCTTTTCTTTCAATTCTCCTTGCTCTCCTTTTCTTGTTATTATGAGAAGGAAAAGAGGGGGAGGGAGGGAGGGAGAGAGAGGGGATGGTGGGAGGGAGAGAGAGGAACAGGGGGAGAGGAAGAGAGAGGGAGAGAGAGAGAGAGAGATTATTCTTAGTATCCATTAAGTTCTAGTCAGTCAGACAGTCGTCCTCAACTGCTATATTTATTTAATGTATTATTTGTTTGGCTATTTTCCAAAGTTCAATAGTTTAATTAATCTAATTATAGTAGCCAAAGAGGTCCAATAATTAGTTAATATTATTATTCAATTATTCTAGCCATTAATAGTTGGTTAATTTTTTGCATTTTTCCCCCGTAGGAGATACAGTTTGTCTACGGAGGCGGTTCATGGGAAATTGCTTTAATTAGAATATTAAAAACGTATAAGGAAAACAAGTTGATAAAGTATGTAGAGTGGGTCTGTATCGATTGTGTATAATGATGTATTGTTGTGTCTTTTTGTATAGAGGGTCTCCAGACTGGAACTGTTTCTCATCACTAGAAGCTGTGAGTGATAAGATCAACTCTTAATACTGCTCTGTCTTATTACCAGAAGTGCCTATGAGTAAAAACTAGAGTTTAAATATACAGTTAGAGGCACTTCTGGCTATAACCTATCGCTGTATGAGTCTGCTTCGATTATGTGTACTAATTTTAGCAAATTTACCAAGAGATTATTATGATGCTAAGTTAAGTGACATATAATTCAGTATCTAAAAATCACTAAAAATGATGAAATAAAATAAACGGAGCATCATCGAAAGTGCTAAATTAGCTGACACATTTAAAATTGGCCTTAACGATATTTAGTTATTTCTCTGTGTCTTCTTGTAGGGTCTATTGTCTGTCGTTTCATCTCTCGTTAGTGTAAAACCTCACCAAAGAGCCACTTTTTATCAGGTAAGGACTAATATTTTTATTTTTCCCTTTCTTATTGTTCCATTTTCTCTCTCTCTCTCTCAGTCTGTATATGACAGTTCCGATCAGCTAACAGTCAATGCTGCTACTGGTATGTGTGTGTGTGTGTGCGTGTGCGTGTGAGTGGAGTCTTATGTATATGTACACATGTGTCAACCATACTGTCTCTGTGTGTCTTTATCATCATAGGTAGTTTGGTTACTCTCCCAGATCAGACTCACGATGTTATTGAGTCTTATAATAACATGTATGTCAGTGGATTATGTTTCTATGTACACAATTATAATGTTGTAGTAAAATAATCCTATACTTACAAACCTCACACATTTTCCTGTTAAAAGATGCTGCTAGTGTGTGTGTGTGTTTGTTATGTACCGCATAGCTAGAAAATTTGGTGGAGTAAAAGTTTGACGAATTGAGGCCCATTTGCCAAATTATTAGTCTCCAATTTGATAAGGCACCATAGAAGTATACACAGAGTTAAAATTTTGCTGAAATTTTAACGTCCAAACTATAGTCTCGCCCTGCCCCTTCGCTACCCACAGGTAGCGAAGGGGTGGGGTGAGACTACCTCCAAACCTCTTTTAGAGTCAATTCGCCAAATTTTAGCACTCCAAATTTTCTAGCTATACAGTATTCTCTTTACTTTCAGCTGGCCTTTTACTCTCTTTCTCTCTCTCCTACACTCTCTCTCTTTTCTCTATGTATTATAGTCAGTATATCATGTCTAGTGTATGTCACACACTCTCTCAGTTGTTGAGGATTGATGCTGTACATCCTGTTAGCAAGAGACTGCCTCCTCCTCTACTTGAGAAGGACAAAACTCCTGAAAATGAAGAGACGGATTGAAATTATTTTAAAAGATATTTTGAATTTACCGCGGTTCACGCACTTAGATTTGTATACTACTAAGTTTCCGGAACTTAACTCCGTATTCTTACTTCATTCATCGTGTAATTCGTGCTGTGTGAAAATGGCTACTGTCGATAAGGCAAAGGCACAGAGGAGAGCTCTTCTTGGAGACGAAGACGCTTCGATGGTGTTTGAAACCAGCAAGGGAGTGGACGTGGTGGCCACCTTTGACGGAATGAACCTCAGGGAAGATCTACTGAGAGGAATATACGCTTATGGTGAGTAGGTGGGGTGGAGCTTATAAGAAAATTACTCTTTATCACAATAATAATAATACATGCACTAGCTAGCGTTAGATCATTGTGGAAACCTTGTGTATTGTACAATGAAATCCTTGAGCTGCCCTCTTAAATCTAAAATTTACTGTTTCAATTTTTGTAAATGTATGAATTCAATAATTAGATTATTAAATTTGAAAAGTTACGTCATGATAAATGCGGTAACCCCCAAACCTTTTCCGTAGGGTTTGAGAAGCCTTCAGCTATTCAGCAGAGAGCCATTGTCCCCATCATTAGAGGAAGGGACGTCATAGCTCAGGCCCAGTCTGGTACTGGCAAGACAGCGACATTCTCCATAGCCATACTCCAAAAGACTGATATCCAGTTACGTGAAACCCAAGCACTTGTTATGAGCCCAACCAGAGAACTGGCCACTCAAATACAAAAGGTACTGTTTATACAAGTGATAGCTTTTATTAAATATTTTACGTCTCTCTGTCTCTCTCTCTCCCTTCCCCTCTCCCTCCCCTCTCCCTCCCCTCCCCCTCTCTCCCTCTCTCTCTCCTTCTCCCTCTCCCTCTCTCCCTCTCTCTCTCCCTCTCCCTCTCTCTCTACAGGTTATACTTGCCCTGGGTGATTATATGAATGTCCAGTGTCATGCTTGCATTGGAGGCACTAATGTTGGAGAGGACATAAGGAAGCTTGACTATGGACAGCACATTGTTGCTGGTACCCCTGGAAGAGTGTTTGGTATGAAGCACACATGTACCTTAAAGCTCCTCATGTAATATTGATACTATAGATATGATTAAGAGGAGAAACCTCAGGACACAGTCCATTAAGTTGTTGGTTCTTGATGAAGCTGATGAAATGCTAAACCAAGGCAAGGATTTAATTGTTTATTATATATATTAAAAATTGTCTTCTTAACAGGTTTTCAAGAGCAAATATATGATGTATATCGCTACCTTCCGCCTTCAACCCAAGTAAGGGATGGGATGTACAGTACAGCGTAAAATTTTTGAGGGCTGTAAATGTACATGTACATGTAATTGTAACTGTAATTGTAATGGTTTGTAGGTTGTGCTTGCTAGTGCTACCCTTCCTGTTGAAATACTCCAAATGACTCAGAAATTCATGACCGATCCCATACAAGTCTTAGTAAAACGGTGAGTATATACATGTACCTGAGGCATGGGCCAAAGACCCTGTATCACTTACCATGTACTATAGCACAGGGAATTTAGCCCAATTTTAGAGCAACTTGAAAAATTCATAAAAAATTTAATTTTAATTGGAATCCAGTCCACTCAAACTTGATATACAACATAATAACATGTATATGTATCAGAAAAAATTATAAAAATGAAGAATTTTCTCCGAGTCATTTTTGACGAAATTCGGCTAATGACTTTCGCTCAATTTTGGTGCAACTTTAAAAATTTATAAAAAATCTAATTATGATCGGAATCAGCTGAAACTTGGCACACAACATAAGAACATGTATATGTATCAGAAAAAATTATAAAAATGAAGAATTCCCTCCCGGTCATTTTTCACGAAATTTGGCTTATGACCCTGTACTACCATATGGCTAGAAAATTCCGTGGGGTATTTAATTTCGCGGATTTCGTGGGTAACTTCTTAACCACGAAAAGTAATACCATGGAAATGCTCACTGCGCATGCGCAGCATGTGAAAATCAATGACTTAATGCAAGTGCACATGCAAAAACGCGAAATTTAACTCCCTCGAAATTAAAGAATTAAGAGCTTTTCACTAAAACACGAAAATTTATACCCTCGAAATTTTCTAGTACAGGGACTTTGGTCTGATTTTGAAGTAACTTTAAAAATTCTTTAAAAATCTAATTTTGATCGGAATCAGCTCAAACTTGACACATAACATTAAAACATGTATATGTATCAGAAAAGATTTTAAAAATAAAGAATTCACTCCTTGTCATTTTTGGCGAAATTTAGCCAACAACCCTGTACTATAGTACAGGGACTTTCGCTCAATTTTGGAGCAACTTTAAAAATTCTTAAAAAAAATCCAATTATGATCGGAATCAGCTGAAACTTGACACACAACATAAGAACATGTATATGTATCAGAAAAAATTATAAAAATGAAGAATTCCCTCCCAGTCATTTTTGATGAAATTTGGCCAAAGACCCTGCACTATTATACATGTAGTACAGGGACTTTAAAACCAGATTTTGGAGCAACTTTTAAAAAACAACTTTGATCAGATACTTCAACAATGGACCCTATTTTAAAATTATTATTATTATTATTATTATTATTATTTTGTTTAATTACAATTTAGTGATGAGTTGACTCTAGAAGGCATAAAGCAGTTCTTTGTTGCTGTTGAGAAGGAAGACTGGAAGTTTGACACCCTCTGTGACCTTTATGACACACTCACCATCACTCAAGCCGTCATCTTTTGCAACACAAAGAGAAAGGTAAGAATGACAATAGTCTGAGGGTCTTTAAGCTCAGTCACAATATGGCGCATTGCTTTGTGAACAGAAGTACCGTAGGGGCCTTTTTGAGGGCTGTAAATTTTGTGGATTTTGCAATTTGCGAGGATTAATTTTGCAAAAATCAAATTATTACTGTACAAGATGGTAGTCGGCATAAATTTGTGAAAATTAAATCTGCAAAATAGATTTTAAGGCAAATTCATAAAATTTACAGCCCTCAAAAAAAGGCGCCCTACTATATTACATAAATGAATGGACTAATGTGCATCAAAATTCAAGACTTACCATCACACATTATGTACAGAAATTATAAAGATTTACAATGAATAAATTATAATAATTTGTAAAGTTTAATGGTGATCAATGTTTCCCACAAAGCATGCTAAGTGAGCAAAGCAGCATTCTTGACTAACAAGCAATACTATGCATGTTACATGGCATTTCGAGCAACTTCAAAAATTCAAAATCTTATGGAATCAACTTGAATTTGCTACACAACTTATAAATAGCAGTTCTGGTTGCAATAAATACCAGCCCTTTACATTTACATTTACAGGTTGAGTGGTTAACTGAGAAGATGAGAGAAGCTAACTTCACCGTTTCATCAATGCACGGTGACATGCCACAGAAGGAACGAGAAACTATAATGAAAGAGTTCAGAGCCGGAGACAGGTAAGTTCTTCCCTGCTTCTTTTAATAACTTACCACACCCACACAGTCGAGTTTTAATAACCACAGACGTGTGGGCAAGAGGTCTTGATGTTCAGCAGGTCTCTCTTGTCATTAATTATGATCTTCCTAACAGCCGTGAGCTCTACATCCACAGGTTAGTCCTTTAACCAAAGTCCACTTTTAATTTTGTGCTCTAATTTTTAAATGTAAATTTAAATTGACTTTAAGAAAAAATTTGTAATTTTTAATTAAACTAGATGAATGTAAAACATTAAAGGGGCGAGCCTAAGCAAGCAATGTACATGCAATAAATTTTAACAGACTAACAATACTCAGTCTCATGCATGAATTGATTGAACTTAAGCAGCTCAGAACTTGGAGTGTAGTGTAGCTCTTCATCTACCTTTGTAATCAATGCATGAAGTTTTGCAATTAAAGATAGCTACTGTAGAAGCAGTCACTGCACAAATGATATGGTTAGATAGGCAACTGTAGCAATGTAGTCCAAGTTAGTTCAGGCTGTGACTGACATTCACTTAATCAGAGTCATTCACATGAATTTTTTAACAAGATGGCATATCTGCTTTCTTTTAATATCCATTTTTGCATCTGGACAGTAGTACAGTAAGTCCAGTCAGTTAATAATGTCAACAAAAACAAGTTTCATAGTTACTTTATTGCATCTATAACCTGATATAGCTGTTGGAGAAGCCTTTGAACAGAATTTCTGTCTTATTTTGCTGCTAGAAAACTTATGACTTCTTTCCGTGTGTTGGTCGCCATTTTATTTTATTGTGCCACTCCCACTTTTAATGAAATATTGAAAACTGAATTTACATTGTATATTGCATTGTTAATGCATAGCATCTACCGTATTACACATAAATAGGGGTGACGTACAAACAGACAAACATACTTGTCTCGTTTATGTGGGGCTCGCTCAGGCTCGCCCCAATTAATGCATGGATTAATTCATAAAAGAAAAATGTTAAAATTGCCAAGTCCAAAATGCTAAAATTTGTATGCACAATTAAAAGCGAAATTATAGCACATTTTGATAATATTTCTTCCATTTTCTTGGCAGGATTGGTCGTTCTGGTAGATATGGCAGGAAAGGTGTTGCCATTAACTTTGCAAAGAATGATGACATCCGCATACTGAGGGACATTGAGCAGTACTACTCCACACAGATTGATGAGATGCCCATGAATAGTAAGTTGAGAGAATTTTTATTACAATTATACATATATTGATCTCTTTCTTTCTCTCTTGCAGTTAATGAACTTGTCTAACGTTTATTATCCAAGTATAAAAAAAAGATGTTGACATGCATATGCATTGTAATTTTATTTGAAGACAATTCTTTCTTTAAAATAATTGTTATAATTGGGGCGAAGCAAGAAATCTTGTCTGGCCATGGTCTATTAATAACCATTATAACTTGGCAACGCCCATTTAGCAACTGCCATAGCAATTGTGCTGCAGCTGCTGCTGCTATTTTAGATTAATAGATTGATTAGATTCCTAATTTCCTATAATTATTTCCTATTGCTACCTGCTCTATAGAAAAGCATGAGTGATTTGAAAGTGATTGGATCTCCTAAGGAGATGAGAGATGGTTTGACATTACTTGAACCTCCAGACACGAAGCTAGAGATTGAGGAGAAGGAGGCACTCCTCAAAAAGTTAAAGGTGGCTTTTTAAAGACAGACAGAATTAATTAACTTTTTTGATTTTCTCCTTTAGGAAGACATAGAGAAAGGTAGTCTGTCTATAAGATAAGAGCACACAACATTTATTATTATTTTATTAATCTTTGTGGTATTAGAGATAAATTTACAATCTGATTTGCAGCATGAGTTGTGCAGGGTCAACAAGAGCCTCTGTGTAATGGATGAGCAAATATCAGACTCCACAAGAGAAGCTTACAAGTGTGAGAAAGCGATAGAAACTAACATCACAAGAATACAGTCAATGCAACTGGAAATAAAACAGAAAAAACAGGTACATGCATATACATATAGAAAACTTAATGTAGATGATAATTTGTTGTTGTTGTTGTTATATGCCATTGTTTATTGTTGTTTTTATGACTAGTATAATGAATCTCAGACAAAGCAGAGATTGTTCTATTCTGAGAGAATGAGAGCACACAAAAGGAAAGTACTTGAGTTTGTGAATAAACTGGCAGTGACACAAGAACTAATGGAAGCAAGAACTACCTGGGAAGAAGCAAAGGACAAGTGTATGAGGATTAGAGACTTTAAAAAGCAATGCTTTGTTATTATGGTTATATGTTTCTCTAAATTTTTAGTTGGCGATTCCAAGCTGATAGCTAATGAAATTGATTGTGTAGACCAGAGATTAAATGAAATCAATCATAAAATAACCGAAAAAGTTGACCAAAAGAAGCAAACAGAGAAATGCATTCAAACAATGAGAAACGAGGTATGTTATGTTTTTGGAAATTAGCATAATTTAAGACTCAGAATTGTATCACATTGTTGATGCTTCATATCAATAGATCCAAGGTCTGACAGAAAACAATAATAAGCTGGTGAATGAACTTGAGGTATTGCACAAGAGGCGACAGGCTCGTCTAGTAAGAGTGAGACACCAAGTCCACGAGGGAAGACAAAGAAACAGACAATTGGAACTAAGAGCAAATGAAATAAAGAAGCAAATAGAGAAAGCAAAAACAAAACTTAGAATGAGGCAAAACTGAAT